CCCATGGTAAAATTAAACCATGAATCTGGAAATTGAGTATAATTACCTGAAATCCCTCACATGCAGCTCATAAATACTTATATCTGAGAAGGATCTTAGGCATGGTTTCTTTTCTGCTAAGTTGTCCCATCCTTGAGGTTTTAGATCATCAGAATCAAGATTAACCAGGAAAGTTTTGCTCCCATCTGCTGAAAGCCTGCTTGAGAAAGACAAATTACATATGACTCATTTTCAAAAAAGTTTGTCTGGGGGATATGCTTTCAAGCCAATTGAAAATAACTATTACCCCCGTGCATAAGGATCATTAGCATAGCAAGTTTCCAATTTCATGGTGCTTGGATGGTAGACTGATACTTTATACACGTAATAGCATCCTTCCCAACTACAAGCTCCTTCAGTGCTCCACACACCGGTAGCCTCTTTGAGTGGGCAGATTTCCATCGGACTCTTGTCAAGTGGGTTTTTATAGATGCAAACAGATACTGCCTACTTAAATGCACAAATGAACACAAAAAAAAAAGCTTTAACTATGTTTAAGGCAGGTATAAAAGGCAACACCATTAACCATTTCCAACATACTTGAGCAGTGGGAGCCCAGAGGTGAAGAGAGACACCCTCTGGTGTAAAATGTGCACCCAAGGGACCATCATATGAGAACAATTCATCCAGGACGCCAGGCAACTGCAAACCAGTTCCCTGAACCAGCCGTTCTTCCCCTACAGAAAATTCAGTCTCCGTAAGTTTCTTAGTGTTGGCAATGAGTTATCCAAACAAGAAAGGGAAACAAATATGAAAACATAGAAAATGTAAATGAAATGGTAAAGAAAACTGTTACCATCAAAGCAAACAACAGCTAACTGGCTTTTGACAAGATCCCCAATATCCAAATCCTTCGGAACTTTGAACGATTTGTAATTCCTAATATGTGGAAACTTCTCAATCACCTGAAAATCAAGCTTTCTACTTTGAATTTTTTTTTTTTTTTTAAATCAAGATTCTGTACTCTTATGAAGCAAACACATGGCAGAGAGTGCACAACTTACATTTGCAGGAAGTGAACCGGATTCAGCTTCAAGCTTGATTCTTAAATCATAACCTGAAAGCCAATGAACTTGGATTAAAAGAAAAAAACTTCACAGAGACTTTTGTAACAAACTTAGAGATATGATTAAGCACCATCGATTCCATCTTGGCTGAATGATAAATCAGCACTTTTGCTCGCATACAAATAACAAGACCCTTCACCAACATCCACATTCCAAGCAATTACACCTTGGGTAACCCAATACGCTCTTGCATAGAGCAAACAATCAAGAAACTGATCGGAAAATCAGTAGCATGATCGGTCAGCATTCTCCTCAAAAGAGAACAAATTAACAATCCAGCTCGAAAATTGAGAGGGTTTAACCTGAGAACTGGGACTGGAGACTTCGAGCGACATAGGAGATGAAGCGGAAGACGAGGAACAGAGACAGTGAAGCAAAGTTTTCGACGGAATTCTGAGACGGAAGTTAGAGATTGACAAAACAGGCCGACGTCGCCACCGCGATCGAAGATTAAAATCAGCGGCGAAGATCTGAGGACGCGAGACGGAGGTGGAATTGAGAAGATGAACGGAGCTTTTTGGTGTCAGTGTCAGTGCCATTCTTCTTCTTCTCCGATTGATGATAGTTTCAGTGTTCTTCGACCGTTTGTTCTTCAAAATATCTATGAATTTTCTTTTTAGTCCCTAAACTTTCATCTATCTTTCAGTTATATATATATAACTACTCATCCTGTCAAATAGACCCTGTCAATGGAACTGGTGTTATTAAAAAAAAACAATTATTGACAAATTTGTTTATTTTAGGGATTTAACAATAAAGGTTTAGGGATTTAATTTGGTCTGAAGATAGTAATTTATGATTGTTTTTTTATAACTTTATCATTACTCTGGTTTAGGGCATCATATCTGTTTTTTAATGTTGTGAATATATGTTCTTAATTAAACTATTTCTACATCATATCATCACATCACAGAGTTTTGTTACTAGTTCTACATTGTCTTGTTAATGTTTCTGTAATTAAACTATTACGGAATGTTGTGAATAGGTGCTCGAACATTTAAAGATGGAACTAGGGTATGAGAATGTCACGATAATAATGAAGATGTGAATAATGGGGATAAGGGTTTCTCTTCTTTGCTAGAGACCTTGGCAGAGACCCTATCCTAGCGTGATCATTGATTCTTTGCTAGAGACCTTGGCAGAGACCCTATCCTAGCGTGATCATTGAGGTGGTGGAAATGGAAGTGATTATGTATGCATTATGTGCAGTGTCGGTCCAAACATTTTAAGTGTCCTAAGCGGAAAAAAAAATTGTCAATCAAAATATACTTTTCAAAATTTCTAGAAAATAATCATACCATTTATGTCAAATTTAGCTGTATAATTTAGTTGTCATGAATGAATAGATATTTGATTGCTAAAACTATATATATATATATATATATATATATATATATATATATATATATATGTTTTTATGATTACACGACAAATTTTGTAAGTTTCTTTTGTTTAAACCACTTCATAATCATACATATACATGTACTTCAGTAAAGAAACAAATAACATGGACTCATATGATTTCTTAGAGGATTACATGGCTAAATTCAATACTAAAATAAACTTGACAAATATTGTACAAAATAGACAAACATTTACTTATAAAAATGTGAGACAATATACAATATTAAGTGGAGGCTAAGCAGCCACTTCCCTTGCTTATGCTAAGGATTTATGTGTTTATTTCTATTATGATATTATTATATGTAAACCATATGTCCATATTATACTTCGATAAAATCTCTGATGATGATACTGATATATGTATGTTTTCAACTTTTGGCAGGTCTGATGACTTTTCTCAACTACTTAGGTCAAACCTTATGATGGGATCGCCACTACCACGTTATGTTAAGAGAGCAATGGGGTTGTCTCCTATAAAACAAGTTCGTCTAGCTTTTTTTTGTTATGCTTGTTTTTGTTTCTCGAAGTTGTTGCTATGTTTCCGTATTTTCGATATATTGCTACTACCTATTAATTTCCAACTCTAAACAATTCTAGTCGTTGTTAAAAGTTATTTCTCCTTGCGTTCCCGCCAATTTATGATACCATTATTTCTCAAATACAAAATAGAGCCATTATTGATTAAACTAACAAAAAATAACATCATTGAAATAGAATGCCAAAGAGCTTGGATACATGACATTACATTTTCATAGATATTTCCGCTTCCGACGTACATTGTTCTTTTAGACATAATCAGGAACCAAGAATAAAGAATCAAGAATCAAATCTATGTACCTAGGTGACGATGAGGGCAGTGATGGCCGTATTTGCGGCGTTCGTGGACAGTCGATATTCCACCATTAAGAAGCCGAACAGTTAGTTTGCGTCCCCCAATGTCACTCCCATTAAGTTGGGGCGCCTTCACTGCTACGTCCTCTCCACGAACTGACACTGTAGCTGAGCTGTAAATATCAACAAAGACACATAACTTTTTTAGTCATTTAATGACTTGGAAAGTTGAGAAAAACGGGAGGAAGAGGCCACTCACTAACCCATTGCCAGAAAAGACACCCTCGATCTTTCCATATGGAGAGAAAAGTTGAGTCAAATGTGTCTTGATCTCATTCTCCCTAAGCGAAGTGTCATATCCTTCAACCTTTAAAATAGCGGAACTGCAATAATAGTTGGATTGCTGGAGATGAATGATACACATTATATATTAAAGATACAAAAAAAAAAAAAAATCAGTTAACTCGTTTGCATATGTCGGAAACGGATGAGCTTCAACAGTGACATTCCATCCTCCCACGTCACTTCCGTTAAGTTGCAACGCCTTATCTACTGCGCCTTCTCCCACAAAATAAATATGACCACATCTGTCAAACCAAAAACAAAAACACTTAAGAGTACAATAATTAGCATTTAAAAAGAGCTGAGCTGGAGGAAGAAGAAGCCACGCAACTTCCAGAGAGTATGGTAATTGTAGTTTCTGGAAATATAAACATCAGTGATCTCTCCACATGAAGAGAAATGTTTTCTCAACGCTCTTACGACATCTTTACGAGGAAGCCCAGTGTCATATCCCATAACCCTAATTCTCCCAACGTTGCTGCAATAATTTGATCAACGAGACAAGAACACATCTTAAACATACCAAACAAAAACAAACATAAAACAAATATTAAATCAATTTACCAGCTTTTTGGAATGGCTGCATCGCAGCTACCCTTCAATTTCAGCCCCTAAGGAGGTACAAAAGATCTCTCATCAAAAATTCTACTAACTTCAAATATTTTGTTTCAAACAATACTTGTGAAGAAAGCCATCACGATATATAAGTTGAAGAGTACTTACTTTGTCGATGGATTTGCCCATGGTGAGGTTGAGAAGAGCGGCTTGCTAGGTTTTCGAGAGGCGGCGATAACAAAAGATATTTTTAGGGATTTAGGTCTGAATAAATTTTTGGGTAATAGACTTTAATTCATCTTTTTTAATTTGTTCTACACTGTATATGTGGATATTTATATTCACATTTTCTTTCATGACATAGGTTCTTGATGTTATTACTTTTTGTGCTAATCAGGAAAACTGAAACGATATGGGATGATATTTTAACCCAAAAAACGGAAACACTGTTGGATACTTGGATCCAGAAAGGTATTGCTTATATATGTTAATTTATGGAATTAAAATGCAATCTGCGAATAATATGAATCTTTGATTTGATTGTAAAATTTTTGAGATATTATTCCTTTTTTTAGTTGGATTGTAAATTGAAAACATTCAAAACTTTTGCATAAAATTATCACTAGGCTACATATCCAATTCTTATGATTTCTCATCTATCAATAAAAACACAGATCCAAAATAATGAAGTAGGGATTGTAACATGATAAGCTTCACCGCGCGCCGACCGTTACATGTACACATTTACATTTCTATAGTAACATGTGTAAACAAATTTTATTCAAATCACTGGAAAAAAAAACATAGGAATGATTTTTATCAGAACGATACACACATGACGAAGAAAACGAAACCCTAATCATCGGGTGTTTAAGCCTTTGGCCAATCATATCTTTTCGCAGGAGGCGTCTTGGGATCTTGTGTGTAATAGATCCCATCCTCTCTTGCTATCCACAAGTACGTAGGCCCCATGGTTGCTTTCCACTGAGATCTGTATGCATCAAACGCTACGTGGAGCTTAAAATCAGGTCCTTTCCACAAATTACACCAGAAAAGTGTCCTCTTCCAAACATTATCATCAAAATTGTTTTTTGTCATTTGGCCAACACGCAAAATATGATCACCAAGGTGGTCGTCCTTAGATCTACAACGCACACCGAGAACTTTATTGTTCAGCTCATTCTTGACCAAGAGTGTACTTATTCCGATTGTATTCCCGATGCATACACTAAGAAGAATCAGGAAGATGAAGAGATTCTTCATATTGTTGATCAAATCTCTTTGGTCTATGATTTCTTTCTCCTTGATCGTTACTTATATACATCTTCTTTCTGTTTATAGACATTGATATTTTACAACAACAAAAATAGGACAAAACGGTTACCAAACTTGTTCTTATCTTATTTTTAGTAGAAAAAAAAAACGTAGTATTCTTTTAAAGTGCGTTCAAGCTGATCTTTATATAGACAACAAAAAATTAGGAAAGATATAAATGTACATTTCTGAATTGATTTTATGCTTCTTTAATCAATTTTGAATATTTGAATATTTTTTCCCCATATAGTCTTCATTTTCAATACATTTGTTTAATTCTTCTCTAATATTTTTATGTTTTCATAATTTTCTGATTGACTTTTTATATTTCACTAAATTATGAGTTTATGACCTTTCTCACAGGATTTTTCGAAAGATTTAGTAAGTTTTATAGTAATCATATATAACCACTACTAGATTATCACCCGTACTACAGTACGGATTGAATTTCATTTATTACAAAATTTATATTATATAGTTATAGAATAAAATCGTGATATATTATAATAGTAAGTAAAAATATATTAATTTTTTTATGTCAGTCCATATATATAATATTAGAATGAATATATTTTTATTTTTCTGTAATCCTCAATTATGGATATATTTTTTAAAGATATGAAAACGGAAAATAATATTATTTTCAAAAAAAATAATATTGTTTGAACAATGAGTTAATTTCGGTTAACAACCACAAAATGAGAGTGCATATAATTTAGTTAGATCAAAAATCAAAATATCATATATGAATCGCATCTAAAACGTAGATTATTTTGAATTAGTTAAAAAAGTTAGCTATTAATTTGATTTAATTTAGAAAATTATTTTTTCAAATTCTAATTCATTGGTTGTTGAAATAGAGATTTGTTTGAACTAATTACGGAATTTACCAATTATTCACATAATCGAATATGTTATGAACATATACTTGGTATATAATAATACCAAATTCGATCAGTGTGTGGAGTCTATATTTTCATTTTACAATCCTTATGAAAATATTGTGGCACAATCTATTATTCATTATTTCCAAAATTGCTTGCAGAATTAAATTTTCAAATATTTAGAAGTGTAAAACCTTATTTAACTCATCTCATCATAAAATCTTAAAATGTCGTCTATTATAAGGATCATAACTTTCTATCATATAATACATTACTCTTAACCCGCCGCCTACTATAAATATATTAAACATATCTTTTTAGAAAAACAAATTAGTATTTATAATTTTTTTATCTTTTTAATCTATTAAATATTTATGATATTCTTTAATATATTAAATTAAACTTTTTTCAAATGTTCTAAATTAAAATCTTTAAAATTTTTATTGTAGTATGTAAAATTATGAATTTAAATATATATATATATATATGAAATTAAATATAAATATTCAAATAGTTATAAAAATCATAACTCATTTCATCATATAATACATTATATTTAACCCGCCGCCTATTATAAATATTTGTTTCAAAAAATCAAATTAGAGTATTTATATTTCTTAACTTTTTGATCTATTAAGTATTGATGATATTAAAAAAAGGAATATATTACTCAAATATGAATTTTTGACCCGTTAAATTTGTTCTTTCATACATTGAACAATTTATATTCGTTTTTAAAAATTCAAATCTTTGTATATACGGAAAAAAATTACTTTTTTTTTATTATGTAAATGATATAATAATTTATTTATTTTATAGAAATAGAATAATATAAAAATGAGAGGTGTAGTATAATGATTAATAACAAATTAATGTGATAAGTTAGATATCAAATCTTATATGTTCATTTTGATTGGTCATTCTTTTAAAAAAATTAATAATAGATTTTCGTTTTTATAATTAAATTAAATTAATTAAATTGCATAAAATAGTATTTGACTTGTTTATCCTTAATGAGTTGAATTAATTTACTCTATAAAATTTTATTTCTAATGGCATTCTTAAGTAAATTCTTACAAAAGGGAAGGTTAGTTAAGGGTATCTTATAAATTGTACTCCCCAAATAATAGTATAGGATGTTTAAATTTGATCGAACCAACCATGAATTTAAGACTAACAGGTTTAGATTTGGAAAATCGCAAAATATGTTTTTAAATATTCACTTAAAATAAATTAAAAATATTTAGTCTAATGGTTGAATTGGTTATAAAAAAAAGTTTCATAATCTAAAATTTAGTTTTATCTTTATAAAAAAAAACTGAATTAATTAATTAAAAAATAAATCAAAATACGTATTGAAAAATAATTTGGTACATAAACATATTATTACTAATATGACATAAATTTCTAATCTAAACAATAATCCATGTTTTTGAACATATTTTGTTTTATTATAAATATATGTATAATATTTTCGAAAATAATATCTGAAAACAAAAATAATTAAGTAGCCATGAAGAAAAAGAACAAACAGAAGTAAAAAGAGGAAACGATAGAAGTTTCATGTTGGATAGAAAGAGTAGAGAGAGGTGGTGATTAATTTTTCCGTTCGAATCTACGACGGCCTAATTAAAATATAACGTATATATAATCTACATTCATATGTAATGACATGTTTTCGAGTCTCCGATATTATTATGTTACATTTTGGGTTATTAAATTTTCCTAGATATATAGTAAGTAATATTGACATCAAACCAAGAATATTAACAGCAACTGGTTATGATTGGTTTACATCCAGATATACATTAATTCAGGAGTCCTCTGGTTAAAGGACAAGTAGAGTCCTTTGGCACCGGCGTACCATGTAGCATTTGCATTATTTTTCTGAGAGGGGTTCATACTTGACTTGTAAGCTACAAACGTGCGGTGATGCGCCCAATGATATCCTTGGCGTAGATCGCACGTAAATTTCGTCTCACGGAAAAAAGCATCTTTGAAACGCCAACTTAGTGGTGGGTCATTGCGATGCAAATATATGACATTTAGATCGTCGTCCTTCGAATAACAATGGACCCTCATGGTTCCGTTTTTTGGTAACCTGTTTACTAACATTAATACGTTTCTCCCGTGCGTATCGCCAATGCAAAACACTAAAACAATGAGAACAATTGTGAGCCGTTTCATTTTTGTTTATCTGGGGATGTTAATTAGATTTTTTTTGTTTTTTTTTTCTTTATAAAGATTGAGATTTTGATGTATTTATACAAATTTGATCAGTATATGATTTTTTGAGGTTATGCGTTAAAATCTGTCTTCTCTTTATTTTTTGAGGTTAAGCGTTAAAATTAGAAATGGCTCGAGAATCAGATGGTCATCATGTTAGACATGGCTGAACTATATATTTAGTACTATTGCGTGGTCAATATTTTTCAATTATGTCTAGTTGCCAATTTTTGGCGACTAATTTTCTTTAAGAAAATATTTCAACCATAAACTTAATAAATGGTTAAAAAAAATTGAGAGAAAATTTTGTAAAATAAATATATGAGTAAATTTTAAAACTATGGTCTAGTTTTCGTTCTTTAGAATATAGTCACTGATCAAAGTTAATTAGAAGATCAAAGTTCATTGTCAACATGATATAGTTTGCCAAACCTATTTTAAAGAAACAAGAAACATAGATAAAGGTTACATTAGAAGGGGGGCACTATATATAGTGGCACTAGTTCACTAGGTCGTTCCTTTCACCCAAGTACGAAACCTCTCCTTGATAAGCAGTTATATATGGTCTCTTAAGTGAGCCCCCGACATAAAAATTAAAAAGGTTACGTTGATATTGATAGAGTTTAGACATTAGTAGTAGATATTAATTCGCTAAATTATGAAAAGACAGTATAAGTGGTTAGTAGCAGCCGACTTAATTTGGCCATTTGTATCTCCACTTGGTTGGTTGGTCAGCAAACACCTAAAGTGAGAGCTCTCTAGAATATTCTTAAGTGATAAGAATTAAAGAAGGCGGCAAACTTACTTACTAGAAAGAATGAGAACAAGTCTTCTTAGCCGACTTCTACAAACACGTGTACCAAGTCAAACCAAATGTGCCCAAACCAAACTTAGATACTAAATTCATTTCATCTTTAGTCCACACAACATTATAATTAAAATAAAATAATATAAAATCAAGTGATTATCGACTTCTTCACTCTTCTTCAACACTTTCTCATCTCTCGACACGCAACTTCCTTCCTCTTCATACTCCTCTGACTTTACTATATATATATAACACACTTTCCTTTCTTGTTTCTTCAAATCAAATCTTTCATATACAAAAATCTTCTCAATTTTGAACTTAGTAGTCTTCCTAAACTCAAAGATAATGGCACTTGAAGCTCTTAGTTCTCCAAGATTAGCTTCTCCGATGCCGACTCTGTTTCAAGATTCAGCACTAGGGTTTCATGGGAGCAAAGGCAAACGATCTAAGCGCTCAAGATCTGAATTCGACCGTCAGAGTCTAAAGGAGGATGAATATATCGCTTTGTGTCTCATGCTTCTTGCTCGCGACGGAGACCGAACCCGTGACCTTGACCTGCCTTCTTCTTCTGCTTCACCTCCTCTGCTTCCTCCTCTTCCTACTCCGATCTACAAGTGTAGCGTCTGTGACAAGACGTTTTCGTCTTACCAGGCTCTTGGTGGACACAAGGCAAGCCACCGGAAAAGCTTTTCGCTTACTCAATCAGCCGGAGGAGGAGGAGGAGATGAGCCATCGACGTCCTCGGCGATAACCACGTCTGGTATCTCCGGTGGCGGCGGTGGAAGTTTGAAATCTCACGTTTGCTCCATCTGTCATAAATCGTTCGCCACCGGCCAAGCTCTCGGCGGCCACAAACGGTGCCACTACGAAGGTAAAAGCGGCGGCGGCGGGAGCAGTAGCGTGTCTAATTCTGAAGGAGGGTCCACAAGCCACGTCAGTAGCGGCCACCGTGGGTTTGACCTCAACATACCGCCGATACCGGAATTCTCGATGGTCAACGGAGACGAAGAGGTGATGAGTCCCATGCCGGTGAAGAAACTCCGGTTTGACTTCCCGGAGAAACCCTAAACATACCTCTCTCTCTCTCTAGGAAAAACTTACAGATTCAGTTTATAGGAAATTGTTTTACTGTACATACAAATTTCGATTTTTATTGATGTTCTTCTTCATTGAAAAATGATTCTTTCTTGTATAATAGAGATGTTTCTAAAAAAAAAGTAGAACTTTTATTTAACTTCAACTTGTTCACACGTATCAAAATTTGCTTGAATCCGTTGTACGTTGGCATATCGTCAAAAGTGACTAATTTACGGGCCAGTTTGTTAATCCATTGGACTAGCCTACTTAGTTCGGTGGGCCGGTATAACCTAACGTACTAGTTTTGAGCCCATCATATATCATTATTTGTAAACATTTATGTACCACTACCAACCATACTAATCTACACCGTTTAAGACCTACCTAGTCGCACTTATTTTATTTTATATAAAGTTATAAACATCACTAAATATTGAAAGCTGAATACAATTTACTTTTTAGAATATTTGGGAATCCTTGCCAACGAAATTTTCATCTACTCATATCTTTCTAATTAATTAGTTAATAACATTCGTCTCCATGTATGTCCTACTCCATCAGTAATCCATTTTGCACGTGTGAAAAAAGTTTTTTTAGATTATATGAGATTCCTGAAACCTGATTAGATGTCATTATGTATCGTTGTTGCCTCCAGAGAAGATTATCTTCCAAGTCATGGTTCGAATCTTTTTTAGGAGGAGAGTTTCGCTCCATTGCGAAATTATATACGTTCACAGTCAGGGCCGGCTCAATTAATTTGGAGTCCGGTACAAATCTTAAAAATTGGCCCTTTTTCATACAAAAAAAAAAAATGGGTCTTTTCATGTTAAAAAAATCTTAAAAATTAGTCTTTTCATACTAAATAAAATATTTTACCAATCAAAAAGTTATGTAACTGGAATCATAATACAGTTTTCTAAAGAAAGAAAAGTTACTATGCGAATTGTGAACATGGATTAATCAATATACATTACCAAGCAAAAAGCCCCATTATTTTTTCACTAGCCATTCCGCCACATGACAAATAGTGACCTACCATATAATTACATGTGTCGAAGTTCATTCATACATTATTATATATGTGGATATTATAAAAATTTGGATGATTTTGATTTCGAGATTCATTTTTTATTTTTTTTGTTAAACCTGTTGTTGTCCGAAGAATATTTTACGTGGATAGCCCAGTGAAATAGAAGCTATAAATTTTGTTTTTAGGGGGAAAAATATTTATATAAAATTCGGAAATGTTACATAGCGCTATAATACACAAGAAAAAAAAGAAGAGATTAAACTAAGCTATATAATTAAGCGATGTAATTTTCACCAAGACCTCATTATTATATATCTACTTGATCACCCTAATCATTGTGGTTTCTTCAATTATTCTCTGTACCGATCATGATTCACGTTACAACGAAGAAGAAAAAATTAAATAACACAAAAGATATACAAACAACAAAAGAAAAAGAGTTGAGACAGCTATTAAGATATGATATCACACAACCCAAAAGTTTTTAATATATGTATAAACAGTCCCATAAACTCACTAGATCGTATCCAAATGGATACTCTAATGACTCTCATTCTTCTTGTCCCTCTTCTTATTTTTCTCTTCCGTCACCTCCTTTCACGGCGGGGGAGGCTTCGGAAACCCTACCCTCCCGGCCCCAAAGGCTTACCCGTCATTGGAAATATTCTCATGATGAACCACTTCAACCACGGCGGCCTGGCCAAGCTCAGCCGTATCTACGGTGGGTTGCTCCACCTCCGCCTCGGGTTTTCCCACATTTTCGTCGTTTCTTCTCCTGACATCGCTCGTCAAGTTCTCCAAGTCCAAGACCACGTTTTCTCAAACCGTCCCACCACAATCGCAATCCGATACTTGACCTACGGGGGATCCGATCTTGCATTCTGCAACTACGGCCCGTTTTGGCGTAGGATGAGAAAACTCTACGTCATGATGCTCTTTAGCCGTAAACGGGCCGAGTCTTGGGTCTCTGTTGATGAAGAGGTCCACAAATCGGTCCGTTTCGTGGCTTCCAAGGTCGGAAAACCGTTAAACATATGTAAACTAGCATTTTCCCTATCACGAGGCATAACGTTCCGAGCAGCTTTCGGTTCCTCCTCATCCACTTCTGATGAAAGCAGATTAGATGAGTTCCTTGAGATCATTCAAGAGTTCTCTAAGCTCTTTGGTGAGTTTAACGTAGCGGATTATGTCCCGTCGTGGCTCAGTTGGATTGACCCGCAAGGGATAAACGGGCGAGTTGAGAAAGCCCGAATATCTCTGGACGGTTTCATTGAGTCCGTCATCGACGATCACTACTTGCACAAGAAGAAGAGAGAACATAATAACCTTGTCGAAGAGACCGATATGGTTGATCAATTACTTGCGTTCTACGAAGAAGAAAAACTCAAAGTCAACACCTCAGACACCAAAATTAATCTCGATAACATAAAAGGCATCATCATGGTAATTAAACGTCCCACAATATTTTTCATACTTTTTTTAGAAGTGATATATTTGAACTCGGAAAAAATTGAAAACTTTTTATATGGAAAAAGGATGTGATGTTCGGAGGAACCGAGACGGTGGCATTAGCAATCGAGTGGGTCCTTACGGAGCTACTCCGGAGCCCCGAGAACATGAAACGGGTCCAGGACGAGATAGCGAGTGTAGTCGGGCTTGACCGATGGCGCGTGGAGGACACGCATCTCGAGAAGCTCACTTTCCTGAAGTGTATCCTTAAGGAGACCCTCCGGCTTCACCCGCCGTTCCCTCTCCTGCTACACGAGACGGTGGAGGACACCGAGGTTTCCGGTTACTTCATCCCCAAGGGATCACGTGTGATGGTCAATACCTACGCTCTCGGGCGTAACCCGGATTCTTGGTCCGACCCGGAAATTTTCAAGCCGGGTAGGTTTTTGGACCCGAGTGCTCCAGACCTGAAGGGTAATAATTTCGAATTTGTTCCTTTCGGGTCGGGTCGGAGATCGTGCCCGGGTATGCAACTCGGGTTGTACGCGTTTGAGCTTGCGGTTGCTCATCTTCTACACTGCTTCACGTGGAGTTTACCGGACGGTATGAAACCCAGTGACGTGGACACCGTTGAAGGGCCGGGTCTCACCGTTCCTAAGGCAACTCCTTTGGTGGCGGTGCCCACCACGCGCCTCCTCTGCCCCATCGTCTCTTGAATCCTGAAAAGCCTCCACCTTTGAAAACAAGAGTTTTCGGAATCGGAGTAATTGTAATAAGTTTTATAGAAGAACCGTAAATTGAGATGATTCTTCTTGTACCACATTTAACGACTTAGTTTTAGTTACTAATTCAAGAAAAATTAGCATAAGAAAGTAACTACAAAATGCAAAAGCGTTGATATAGCTTACACAGTTACACTAACGTTTAAGTAGAAGGCAAAGTCATACAAGAGCATGAAGGAAGCTTTTGAGCAACAATTTTGCAGATTAAAAATACAAAAGCACAAAGACAATGCTGGAGATTTAGCATTTTCGTCGCATCTTCACTTTAAGTGAGACTTCTCTGTATGATTGGACTTTCTCTGCGGCATGTCTCGAAGGTCTTCCCACAGATGATCTTCTTGTCATCCCTTCGTTTTCATCAACTTTAGGCTTATCCTTTGATTCTGTTTCATGACCACATTCTTGAACTATGTTGTTGCCCAAAGATTGGTCTGTCGCTATTTCTTTAATGGCTTCATCGGTTTGAGATTTACCCTTTGTTGATTGTCTTCTCGTTGAGACACTGGCAAGTACACCACAGAGATTACAGTCATATAACTAAGAGTCGATATTAATCAATGGAGCTGCAAGAAATTCTCTGTCACTAACAAACCTGCGTTTCCGGTTTGTCTCTTTTGTGTCATGTTTGCTTTCAGATGGTTCTACAGCTACAGAACTTGATCCAGCAGATTCTTCGATTACTATGCTTCTGAAGATATTATGGCATTAGCTAAACTCAATTTCTGTGTTATCAATCACTGGGATTGAGAAAAATTAAAAAGATATGGTTCAACAAACCCTGCAACATCAGCATTCGAGGTTTCAGTCACATGCAGTTCTTGTATATCAAACCTTGCAGACAGTCTTGAAGAGACTCTGCACAGTTATACAAGAGATTAGTGACCTCTACCGCATTTTTAGTAACATCTGTTAAAAGAATAATACTTGTAAATATGTCGTAATTCAGCCCTCTTACAAACCTTCTCCTCTTGATTGTCTCCCTGACTTCGTCTCCCTCATGGAAGCTTTTACATGGTTCAGCTTCTTCGGGCCTTAACCGAGCAGACCGTCTTTTCAAAGAGAGCCTGCTCGAAACAGAGAAAGTGTCATTGCAATACGCTATTGTCCATTCAGATTTTGCAACAACGTCAGTAATTAAAGTGGAAAGAGGAAAAAGAAAACACTAACAAACCTTCCGGTTTCTTTACTTTCTTTGGCATCATCTATCTCAAGCAATATTTCCGTTTGTTCATTTTCTTGAACATCAAACCTGGTAGATTGCCTTCGTGTACATTGCCTACAACGAAACAACCAAAAAGAAGAAAAGCACAAATCAGATATGCTTATATTCCCACTGCTTTCACGTAGACATGTATATCTGTAAATCTTGGACTGAATATAAGAACCTCTTGCGATGCACACTGTCTTTTACCGGGTTTGCTGCATCAGGAACAAACTTCTTGTTGACCACATTGTCAACCCTCTTTTCAATGTCATCTTTAGTCTGACAGGTCTCTTCGGGGATACCAGTAGTATCTATTACTCCAGAAACTCTTCTACAAAAGAAACAATAACAATTCAGGTTTCATGACTGCCAAAAGCTTTCACAGTCAACATGGATAAAACATTAAGTAGATTAGGACCTTTTACTGTTAGCTTTTTTGTTAGATTCATTCACGTGTATTGGCTTGACGTCGGCACATACTGAAGCTGAAGATGAAACAATATAGAGTAAGGATGTGAAGCATCTCTAGGATCAACAATGAAATTCAGCAAAACAGTTTACGTTTTATCCTTGGCGATCGCTTTCTCTTGGTATCTTTATGTTTCATGTCATGCACCTGAAAGGATTTGCAATCCCCATCAGAAGCGTTTGCTGAAACCTTCAAGTCAACAACAAAGCCAAATAGTGTGAAAACAAGGTAGAAAAAGGTGATAAATTCCTATTCTGAGAATGTCACCAAGTAAACACCTTGTCTTTCGATGCATGATGTGTACATGGAAGTGCTTTCTCCTGGACAATAACAAATTCTCAAGTTTTAAACTTTTTCGTTGGTAACTACAGTCAATAGAAAATATATAGACCAAGGGAATAACTTACCTCAAGCTGTTTCTTGACCTTAAGTAATGCATTCTTGCAGCCAAGTTCATGCTGGAATTCCTTGAGCTGAAAAAAATTACATACAATGTCAATTGATTGAAGAACTTGTAATATAATGAATCAAGAAAAGCCTCAGTTTGAGAGAATTCAGTTCTAGAAAAGCTTACTCTGTCTTTATTTGTATTGAGTTCCTGGCAGGAAAAACATGAAAAAGAACAATGAAGCCATACTTTAATCATATAGTTTCAAATAATCTCGCAATCATCACAAAATCAAAACATAGAAAGATGGGACACACCGCTAACATCTGACTATTTGCCTGAGCAAGCTGCAAATTCTTTTCCTGCACACTCCGTAAATTGATCCTCAGTTTCTGAATCTCAATACCGCTCAACTCGACGAGTTTACTGTATTCACAAAACAAAGATTACCAACAAAAATAACGTTCATGAAACTCAACAGCCAACATATTCTAACGAAAACAAGATATATACTTTCGGTGTGCTAGGGCTTTCATCAGTGTCATGTTTTCCTGCAAAATCAAATCAATACAACAACCGATTCAGTAAAAAATACAGTAAGCCACGATTCAACAAGATTAAAGAGAAAGGAAATGCCTTTTGAAGCTTTGCAGCAAATTCCTGGGAAGAGAATAGCATATTTTCTTTCTGCTGCGTCTCTTCTCTGTCCATTTGTTTCACATTATCCTGCAAGTTGCTATCGATTAGCAACAGGGGCGGGGAGTGGAAAGGATTACTGGTTCAGGTCTGAAAATTGTTCACCTTTTGGGAAACTAAAACCCTATTAGAGTAGTCAAGGCTCATTTCAGTTAGCACCATCCTTTGATTGGGGACACCTTCCCTTGCTCTGAAAAATTGGGAAACATGAATCAAGACCTCACTCTCATACTTCGATTCCAGTCAAAGCTGAACAATTTGAAGCGCAATTGGAAAACGAAATCACTTACAAGTAACACGATAGTGAGAATCGTACTCAACAATGTACCATCGTCGTCACCGGAATCTCTTCGATTGTCTCCTCAAGCAAATCGACGCCACTAAAATCTCACAGCTTTCGCTCGCTTCTGAAAATCATACAGATGTGTTTGTGGGGATCCGACGAAATCGACTGCTCATCTCCCAAACCCTAGATTCTCTCTATCGAAGAAGACGGGAAAGATACGGTTGGTTCGGCGGCAAACCAAGTTAACAAATTTACAAAATAATTCACCCGGTCTGGTTTATCAAGTTTAATAACCGGTTCACTTATCTGATTAGAAAGTTCAATTTCCTTTTATTTGGGCTTTTGAGCTTGTTCAATAGTTCAAGTCGTGTTTCATTGGGCTCAAAATAAAATAATTTCTCTTTTTCTGCAATTTAAATAAAATGTAGTTGTAGTTTCACGTCAAAGGTATTCTCCTAAACAAATTATAGATTATAAATTAGAAACATTACATATTTATTAAAATTTTATATTATGTTGCCTAAAACCATGTTAATTAAAATTCAAAAGAAATGTCAAGTTGGACTAGAATCTCACCAAAAGAAATGTCAAGTTGTACCGATCTCTTATATTTAGCCGATTTTATTGAATTGATAGTACATTATTTCCTTTTTATTTCTTTCTTATATTCTATCACTTTCCTAGGATTGTTTTCAACATTTTGTTTCTTTTCTTTGATTACATTCTCCATAACAAACAAATACAGTACTACAATTGCAATTGCAATAAATTATTGTATACGGCTAAGTTTTTGGTGGCGCCACTTTGTTAATTATAATTTGTCAATTAAATTAGCAAACATATGACTGGCTTATTGAAATTCAAAACTATTTACAAGAACTCAATTGATTCGATTTCTTTAGTGAAGATACATTTGATGAAAATAACTGCAACTAAAACACTTGATTAATAGACAAAGATAAGTGAAGACCATTATGGATTAGGTAAAATTATTATCTCTAGGTCAATTTCTATTGATTATTCTTCTTTTTCTTTTCATCACCATTTACTTAACGGAATTCAAAACGATAATAAGTGAGGAGCCTGCAACATACCCCTAAACATTCGGTAATATTAGATTCCCATAGGCGAGATTGCGAATACAAAAAACTTTCTATATGTGAGAAACTTTCCATAATTACATATGGAAATTCAAATATGTGATAAATCTTCACGATCGACTCTGTTCTTTTGTGTGTTAAAAAAAATCTTTTTGAGGTTTTGCATTGTCTGTCAAAATCTTCCACAAATTAATAGAAGGGTTATTGCGTTGCATTCGAGTTTTTTCATCGAGGTAAGTATTGTTTTCTTATACGCATGTTTATAACGCAAACTTCATTCCTTGAACAACAAGCATATCTGTATCCCGTGATTAATTAATGACATAGAAAGGCTGCTAAATCCATAGAAAGAGTATTGCTTTAGAGAATGGGATATGTGGATGATTGGGTAATTCAAGTAAACTGAGTCACTCTTACAAAAGTAGGAATCAGATTGGAGAAAGGCGAGAGAAATAGTTTTGATTAAGCACTTTAAGGATTCTCTGACCCCTTTCACACACTGTCTCTTTTCTCTCTATATTTCTTTTCTTCTACTTGAAACAAGCTAGCGAGATAGGAAGGAAAACACAAATGAAATTCTTTTGACACTTGTTTATTATATAAACCCAATTTGCACAATTCCCCATAAACCCTTATTTAAGAAACTTCAGTTTCTAATTCTGCTGGTCTTTTCAGAAGAAGAGATAATAGGAGAGAGAAGAAAGTTAAGAGGTTTATAATGGTGGCTCACGAGAGGATCCATAATCTTCAAAAACCAACGTGCATTTGCATTATCTGGTTTTGCCTCTTGGTTTCTCTCTCTCACCATGGAAGAGCATCATCATCATCATCATCATCATCATCTATCTTCAATCTCTCTCTCCCACACCAACACCCATTCCCGGAACATGTTGTTCTTAATGTTCAAAGGTATAACTTTTCTCTTACTTTTCTTTGGTTTCATTTCTTGGGTTGATTCATTTTCATGTTTTATCTTCTGGGTCTTTCTCATTCTCAAGTAATCTAACTTAAATTTGAAAAAAGTTTGAATTTTTAAAACCTCTGTTTTTTTTTCTTATAGTAATGGCATTATCAGAAACAGAGCAATATCCTCTGTTTCTTTCCCAACAACATTATAACATGCTCTGTTTCTCAATGCAGAAAACTCAACGACTCTCTCTCAAGAAGACAACTTCTCACTTACCAACAAGACGACTTCACGACGTTGTCGTCGCCAATACCTTCTTGCATCACCGGAAACCCAATCGACGATTGCTGGCGCTGCGACCCTAACTGGTCGGCAAATCGCCAACGACTAGCCGATTGCTCAATTGGTTTCGGACAAGGAACACTCGGAGGAAAAGGCGGTCAGTTTTACCTCGTCACCGATTCCTCCGACAACGACGCGGCGCATCCAATTCCCGGAACCCTACGTCACGCCGTGATTCAGCCGGAGCCACTCTGGATCGTCTTCTCTAGCGACATGGGAATCACACTCAAACACGAGCTCATCATCGCAAGTTACAAGACAATCGATGGACGCGGCACGAATGTCCAAATCACCGGACATGGTTGCCTCACGATCCAGCAGGTGAGCCACGTCATCATCCACAACATCCACATTCACCACTGTAAACCCTCCGGCAACACTTTGGTTGCTTCGTCGCCAACACACGTCGGATATCGAGGAATTTCCGACGGAGACGGAATCTCAGTCTCAGCTTCGCATCACATTTGGGTCGATCACTGTTCTCTCGGTTACTGTGCTGACGGACTCATCGACGTCATCCTCGCTTCCACCGCCGTCACAATTTCCAACAACTATTTCTCTCATCACGACGAAGTTATACTCTTAGGTCACGACGACCGGTAAATATGTCCACTTGTTTCCGTAAAAGCCCCTTTATTTCACTCATTTTCTAATTAAAGAGTAAGCTTTTCTGATTTATCAATTTAACCCAAATTTTATGGCTTTTGATCATGGCATTGCATTAAAAGGTACACGGCTGACAAGGGGATGCAAGTAACAATTGCATTCAACCATTTCGGAGAAGGGCTTGTGCAGAGGATGCCGCGGTGTAGGCACGGTTATATCCACGTGGTGAACAACGACTTCACGGCATGGGAAATGTATGCAATCGGCGGAAGTGCTAGCCCTACGATCAATAGTCAGGGTAACCGTTACACCGCACCTATTGATCCCAATGCCAAAGAGGTATATGTTCTACTTACCCATCCATTATTATATAACAAATAGATTTTACAAGAAATTTAAATAACCAAACTTACAATAACAATGTTTTTTGAATGTTTTCTCCTTAAACTAAAACAGGGTCTTGAATTCAATATTTTTTCCAATTTGGTATATTTAAAAAAAATTAGTATGGAAAGTTTAAAGCTCTCTTCAAAAATTGGATAAGTATTTGTGGGGTCGGTGTGCTTTTTTTCTGACGTGTCATACAATATTGGGCCACTTGCGCGTTAACCCCACGCGCCGGCTGAGTCTTATTTGCCGGTTACATTATTTTGTCGTCATGACGTTGACACTTGACTCAATAAATGAAATGAGAAACATTTGGGTGTGTCTTTGACGTTGACACTTTGGTGTCGCGTGGTTCTCACACGGTACTGTGTTATTTTGTGAAGGTGACGAAGCGCGTGGACTCAAACGAGAAACATTGGTCGGGATGGAACTGGAGAACGGAAGGTGACGTTATGCTTAACGGAGCGTTTTTCGTGCCGTCAGGTGACGGAGTGAGCCCAGCGTACGCCAGAGCCACCAGTGTTCAGCCTAAAGCCGCCGCTATCATTGACCAACTCACGGTCAACGCCGGCGTCTTTGGCGATCCCAGGTATTATAATTATACTAATATTTACTCCAATGCTTCCTCCACCAAAACTAGCATCTACTTTATTTCGGTTTTTGCCCTATTCTTTATTCGATTCTTTTAGTATTTCTAACACTATTTATAGAGTTTTTTCTTCGATAATACCATTTTAGAAACATATACTATAACTTATTATTTCATTATTTGTGAGAATTTCGATTAAACATTTACATTGGTACTATTATTAGTAATGAATTTACAAAAGTTATTGCCTAAAACTAATTTTGGTTTGTCTTTTGTGATATTTCTTTACTCTTGCTTTACCTAATTGACTTTTTTTTTCTCAAAATTTGAAAATTATGTTTCTTCACTTAAATTAATCGCCTTTTTACAAATAGATAATAATTATTTTGTTCTAGTAAATATTTTATTCCAAAATTATATTTTCGGACGTAAAGGGTAATAATACATTTCTTTCAAATTTTTAAGAAATAGAAACATGATATCGTATATGCATGTCTTGAATGTTTCGGATATTTTTAATAAGTTGCACACTAAATTAAGTGTTAAGATAATTACAATATGGCAAAAAGAAAACTATGACGTTAACATGAACATGCATAAAGCCTTTCTCTTTTATTTTTATTTTCATGTTCAGGAAAGCTTTTCTCTTTTTCCTTATTCATATTTATCTCCCACGTGCGAAGCGTGTGGATCGGAGATCTAAACTTCTAAAAGTTGAAAAAAACCCAAAAGCCTTTCTATAGTGTCTATATGCTTTTCCTGATGCTTTATCGTATTTCCTCTTCTACTTGCAAATAAAAATGAAAGCTATTAAAAGATATTCATTCCTTTATTACCATTTCTTCACCAAATTAGGGTTTAGTGGTTTTCTTTGTTGGACGATATGGAATATCTTTAAATCCCAACAACGAAAATACAATTAGATAATAAAAAGATTCATGTCCTTATTAGCAAGTTCTTCACCAATTTAGGGTTTGGTGGTTCATTCTTTAGCAACTTGGTATATCTCTAAACCCCCGCAAATAACTCTTTTTCCCAAAAAGAAAGTATTAATTCCTTGTAAAATAGTTCTTCACACATTTAAGGTGTGAAGACACATTTAGGGTTTGATTATCGGATCAAACGGACCAATAAAAATTGCCTTGATAAATAGATAGGTGATTAGATTATATATATATATATATATATATATATATAATGGGTTCGTATTTTTAATATATTCCTTTACTACTGAATCATCTACTTTCCAGCAAAAAAACAATACCTAGTGGGACCTTTTCGAAGACTACATATTATATAGATTCGATCTACTTATTAGATGTGGAATATAAACAGTCATATATATTTGTGTGTGTATGCGTCTCCGTGACCTACTTGGTGTTGCATACTTGCATTTATCTTTTTTTTTCAAATATGAATTGGTTAGAATTTAACATTAATTTGACCCTCTTTTGCAAATGTAAAGTATCCTTAGAAGGATGGAGGATTCTCTTAGCCGTCTTGCTTTAAAAAGTTCGATATTCTTTTGTCAAATTACTTTAGTTTGCTACCAGTTATCTAGTTAACCAATACCAGTTTGCTGGATAGTTTATAGGCGGCTAACTTAGCTAGTTTGGTATTTTCAGTTGTCACTATATTTTCTTTTTTAAGTATGAATTTCAAACATATTAACTCAAAACCTTTGGACGTAAAGTCTAACATGGGAACAAAAAAAAATGTTAAGGATGCATGTGATGGAGCAACTTGTTTTCGTCTTTACTTCCACTTTTTGAACTTTTACATTGATTCGCCCATTTAATCAAAGACTAATGTCACTGTTATAGTATCTTTTGCCAAAAACTCTCAATGAATTATTGTTATTATAGTAGTATATATTATTATCATGATGATTATAGTTGTTGACTTGTTGATAATATGGTTTGGTGGTGTAGTGGGAGAAACGGCCAAGGAGGAAGTTTTCCCGGAATAACGGACGGTGGTGGGACCATCACACGCGGTTATAGTAAAAGTGGACCCAGCGGCAGTAGCGGGGACAGCGATGATGGCCTTTTCACAGTGATATTCGGTAACAATAGCGGTGCGGTGGCTCTAAGGCCGGGACAAGTCTGGTCGATTCTATTGATTATCATTTTATTTTGGTATATTCCACACCATACGAGATGATGATTTCATTATTGGTTAGAGGGTTTATTATTTATTTCTGGTTACAAAACGAATATACGTATTTATATACAGATATATAGGTACACAGTCTACACAGCACTTGCAAGTTGTAAAATATGTGAAATGTATAAAATATTTTTATTCTTGTTTGATGCCTAAACTTTTTTGGTCCAATATTGGAGCATATCAATTGGCTGGAGGAATCTTCATATTGTTTGGATTTAAAAGGACTGAGATAATGTAGAGGTATATGAGATACTACTAATTAGTTTTTTTTTTTTTTTCATTGTTAACTATTATCTGAGTTGTTGTTCGAATTTCTACAACTATTTTCGTAATTTAGAAAATGGGACTGAGTTTGATGGGAGTGATGACCAACTTAAGTTAGGCAACAAGTCAACTTCAAGAAGCTATGCTTCCTTAAATATATTTTGTCATGTTATAATTATTAACTAATTATGCACAATAATAATGCTGTTTCAATTCGACTTTGTCCATGTAGTTTGAGCGTTAATCAAAGATGGAAAAGTGGTGAAAATAGCAAAAAAAAACTAAGATAATGCCAAAAGGTTATAAACAGCTACAAAAAATGGTCCTTGATCAGAGCCTTAGTCACGACATAAACTAACCGAACCATGAGGGTCCAAAACAAAGAAAGTCCAGAGACTAAAGAAAGACACACCTCATGGCTTTCAACTAGAGTTTAGAGTTGAGACATAGATAGAGAGTGAGAGTTTTACTTACAAGTCAGGATTTCTTTTTACCATCCAGTTTTTTTGTCACCGGTTCCCCACGCTGCCGAGCCACTTGGTGAAGGCGCATTTGTGTTGCCGCCCCATGCATTATCAGCTTCTCCACTCATTCCGACATCATTGTTTGGCTTTTTGTTCCAAGTGTCATTGTTGTTATCGGTATTCGCCTGATCGTTACTGGTCCCCCAAGCTGATTTGCTTTCGTCTCCCAGTTTGTCATTGGTTTCTCTTTTTGAGTTAGTATCCCAGCTAGGCCAGTTTCCAGCACCACCACCAGAGGACGAACCAGATGGTTTGCTATTGTTTGAATCCTCTCCCCATCCTTTTTTCCAGTCTGATCCACCACTTTGGTCGCTCTTCCAAGTGTTTTCTTGATTGTCTGTTTTCCAGCTAGATGATTGATCACCATCAAACGACCTTCCTCCTCTACCTGATTGGTTTCTGCCTCCACGGAAACCTCCTCGGAATCCTCCTCCTCCCCTACTTCCACCACCACTCTGTTCATTCCAAGGTTTAGAACCACCATCACCCTGCTTGCCCCAACTCGATCCACCACCACCACCATCGTTCTGCTTACCCCACGCAGAACCACTGCCACCTTCAACATCTGGTTTACCCCAGCTTGAACCACCCCCACCACCATCTTGCTTTCCCCAGCTAGATCCTCCACCAGAATCACTCTGCTTCCCCCAGCTTGATGATCCACCACTAGTATCGTTCTGCTTACCCCAGGCAGAACCACTGCCACCACCACCATCTTGTTTACCCCAGCTTGAACCACCCCCACCACCGTCTTGCTTGCCCCAGCTAGATCCCCCACCAGCATCACCCTGCTTGCCCCAGCTTGATCCACCACTAGTATTGTTCTGCTTACCCCAACCAGAACCACTACTACCACCACCATCTTGTTTACCCCAGCTCGAACCATCCCCACCACTGTCTTGCTTGCCCCAGCTAGATCCCCCACCAGCATTATTCTGCTTGCCCCAGCTCGATCCACCACCACTAGCATCGTTCTGTTTACCCCAGCTTGAACCACCACCACCACTGTCTTGCTTTCCCCAGCCAGATCCACCACCAGCATCATTCTCTTTACCCCAGCTTGAACCGCCACCATCACTATCTTGCTTGCCCCAGCTAGATCCGCCACTTGGTTTATTCCATGGTGCCGGATCCTACAACCATTGGAAATTTACAATATGAGACTTCAACATAGCCTACAAAATCAAAATAAGAAAGTTTCTTCTCAAACTAACCTCAGAATTACTGAAGGAGCTTCCCCTCCCAAACTGATCCCTGCCACCTCGACGACCTCCTCCTCTTCTCCCACCAAACCCACGTCCTCCCCTATCGAATGTTTGTTCTGAGTACCCTCCATCATCCTTCTTACCCCATGATGATCCTCCATCATCCTTTTTGCCCCAAGAAGATCCTCCATCATCCTTTTTGCCCCAAGAAGATCCTCCATCGTCCTTTTTACCCCACAACGATTCCCCATCGTCCTTTTTGCCCCAAGAAGATCCTCCATCGTCCTTTTTGCCCCAAGAAGATCCTCCATCATCCTTTTTGCCCCAAGAAGATCCTCCATCGTCCTTTTTGCCCCACGATGATCCTCCATCATCCTTTTGACCGTCATCTTTCTTACCCCACGATGATACTCCGTCATCCTTATTACCCCACGAGCCTCCGTCATCCTTTTTACCCCACGATGCCGCTCCGTCTTGCTTATCCTGTTTACCCCATGAAGAGCCACCATCTGGTTTACCCCAGCCAGGAACACCCTTACTATTGGCATTGGAATCTTCTGCTGACTTGTTCCAACCAGAAGAACCATCTTTTTTCTCTCCTGAACCAAAACCTCCACCTTGATTACCCCATGCAGATCCTCCCTTGCTCCCATCAGAGCCTTTATCCTGTTGTCCCCAGGAAACTCCATCTTCGTTACTTGCGCTGGAATTTCCATCTTTGTTGGCCCAACTAGATTCTCCATCTCCCGTTCCCAAACCAGATTCAGATCCCCCTTTCTTACCCCAAGACGATTCTTCTTTCTTCTGACTCGATTCAGAAGCTTCACATAGTTTACCCCATACTGAGTCCTCATCTTGCTTATTACCACCAGAGCTTCCACCATGCATACCCCAGGAACCTGAATCTGCAACATTGGAAGTAGAAGCTCCTTGTTTTCCCCACGAAGAAGCTTCAACATTTGAAGCACTTGTATTTCCCCACCCACTAACAGTGCCAGCTTCAGAAGCAGGTGTTTTAGCCCAGGAATCCCAACCACCAGGTTGATCACTAGCCGAGGCAGGTTTGTTCTCAGCTGCTGCATTGGCCCATGTTGAAGTATTATCATCGGTAACTGTCGGCTGCTGAGACTGCAGAGTAAGAAACCTTGTGACATTAAGAAATCTGCGAGTTCCTTGAGCCCTTTGAAGCTAAAAAGAGGTGTAAATATAAAAGTAACAACACAAAAATATTAAGTTCAAGACTTACCCAGACGTCAGACGTAGGCTTACTGCCCCATGGGTTCCTGTAAAGAGGATATGAGATCAAAATTTTGTAAGAGCGATTTAGGCAACAAATCAGCTCAGGAGAAATTCGTATTGTTATTAACACGCTTCTCACGGTAAACCATGATACATTCAACATTGAGACTCTCCTACCTCAAATCTATATACCAAGTGACAAAAACCAGCAAAAAAAAAAAACAAAACCAAACAGCAGAAGGAAGCAACACAAAGATCAGTTGAAGAAAGCTTATCACCCCTATAATTTGTTTACATCCCAGTAATTATATCTGAAGGAACGAGATCTAAATTCGAGGAATATCCAATTATATCCAAGGAAACCATATCTACTTTTGGCTACATAATTGGGAAAATAGACTTACGAATCAGTAGAAGGGCCTCCTATATTCCAGTTACCACCCTCACCTGACGTGCCTGCTCCTTTCGCCCAGTCTACCATACAAGAAAGGAGAACAGTTACAAGGAAATGGGATAGATGACTAGCAATGTTCAAATGATTCAGAGCATTTAGGAACAAAGCAGGTATGCTATATGTAATTGCAACCAAATTGAAAAGAATTCTGAATATGCACAAGAAACACCAACCTCCAGTGCTGCTTTCTGTTCCAAGCATGTCAAAAGGTTGAAAGGAACCCATGCCCGCATCCCCACTTTTATAACAAACAGACAGCGTGTAAGAGAAGTTGGCATTTGACAGAAACGACAATGAATGATACAGATGCATGGACAAAGTCAAGAGTCCGAGCAAATAATTTAAAGAGATGCATGTGAGCTTACCTTGTACTTAGCGCAGTGTTTCTGTCGCGAACCTCAACTAGATGCTCACTTTTAACTGAATATCATTGAAAATATTCAGAAGCACAACAGAACAGTATTATATCAAATGAGTAAACGCATGAAAACAAACCTGTGAAAACTTTATGCTGGGAATCAAGCTTGACTGTAACATCAGAATAGCGTAAAGCTATTACACGGCAGAGATACCCCTTCAATGGACCCACCCGTATCCTCAGCTTTTGGCCTATAGAATACGTGCTACCTCTGTCTCCTTGGTTGGCTGCATTTGATTATCATTTGTGAGAAGCCTAAGGTATTAAAAAGAAGCCAGATTGTAATAACCCTCCATACTTACAATTATTGTATCTTTCCCTGGGCTGCCACTCTTTTTCAGGAGATAGCGGCGATTTTGGGGAGGATACAGAATCTCCAAAAGCAGAAGCATCAAATCCACCAGTCTGAGAAAAACAGAATGCTATCAGAACACGAAGATCTTACAATTGTATCAAAAGATAGCTGCAGAGACTGGGCTAGTTTACCTTCTCATTGGAGTCTTCAGTAAAGAGTTTAACTTTTTCACATGAGTGTGATTTGCAGCAGAAATATCCACCATTTTCTTCCTCGCTCTCATCATAAATAAATATGATCCCTCTGTATACTTGCCTTACAACTCCTTGTTTACCCTAAATTTTGTAAATTATGCATGAAAAGTAATAAGTTTTTACACAAAATTGTTCACCTAATTATGTGAAAGAAAAGTGTAACAGAAGCAAACAAGAATAAGAAATTTAAAAGCACACCTCGGATGGGCCTTTGGAAATCTTCACAACATCATTAACTGATATTTGTTTGTTATTCAGATCCAAGGCAGTAAATTTTGAATCAAAAGGTCCATTCTGCATTTCCTTTTTCCCAACAGTGACTACAACAGGTCCATCTAAACCTTCTTTCAGAACCTGAAATATTTTGCAATCATCAGAGACAGGCCACATGGTATTATGAGATGGTGAATAACTACATACCTTGTAACCGTCACCTTTGTCATCCACGCCCACAATCAGACCGAAGTCTTTTCGACTACAAAGGGAAAGATATGAAGTGCTTAACATATGTAATTACAACAAAGACTTGCAAAAAAGTATAGTTATGGACGACTCCTTACCTGAAACAAACTAGATTATATAACTCATAGCTACTTTCTGACTTAAATTCTGATGAACCTTCTCCTTTTCCACCCCCTGATCCTTCTCCTTTCCCACCCCCTCTGCCGGTTGGAAGAATCTTTTTCTTCCTTTCTTCACCATAAATTTCTGAGATCCACTCTACATCACCAGTTTCTTTTCGGTCTACAGGCGTAAATTTTAGTATCTCCTCCTTCGATGGTACAACCCCCCAGGAAGATATTGAATCTAAGGATACTTTCTTATAGAGATACCCATCTTTCAGCATCATGCTATCAAGATGCTCAAAAGTTATTCCAGTATCACGATCTCGCCTCACTTGAATGAGAGGTCTGAACTCCCTGTGACGAAAGAGGGGACAAGAAAGATTAGAAAGTTGGTAATTATTTACCAAACGAGAAGAAAAGATCAAGCTTTTACTCGAGCTCGCTTGAACTGATCAATCTTGGAGCTGGAGACTGGCCTTTTTGAACAGTAACTCCCCCACCCTGCGCATGAAAGTTAGTGCAAAGCACAGAGCAAAAGATGAGATGACAAAAACACAAAAAAACAGTCGCAAAATGAGTGGCACAGACAAATAAATGAGCGAGAAGACAGGGTAGCTACATATTTTTGGGTCAAGGCCTGAATATCGATCCTCGGAATTAACTTTATTAATGCTTTACTCTTAGTGTCACTCACAGCCACAATCTACAAGGACATATAGAATAAGATGATTAGGTAGCCTTAAGAAGACAACGATCTGAAAAGGAAACATATACAGCAAAGTAAAATGTACCTGAGCAAGATCTCCTTTGTATTTGCCATTCTTAACACGAGCCCATGTTCCCTCAGAAACTTTTTTAGTTTTTCTTTGGACAGTTAGCAGATTTGGAGTTTCGGCTTTAGGAAGTAACACCATCCGAGTAGCGTATATACCAGTTAAACTCTTGCAGGCCTAGGAAAATAAGACAAATCAGAATGTCATACACATTATGATTATCCCTAAACAACATCCTCCAAACTGTCAGATAAGTACAACAATAATCCAACATAGGCATGGTAAATGTTCATTACCTCAAGAACATCATGTTCCTTGTCCGCTTCTATGAAAATGAAACCCTTGACATGGTCCAAAGAAAAAACAGATATGATCTGCAATTTGGTGCCTATCTTTTTCAGCTCAACAAATTTGTGCATGAGACAGAAAGCGGATCGCCTCTCCCGTCCAATCTACAGGAACAAACCAAATGGAGTGAGCAGAAGTAGGAACATAGAGGGATGAAGCTAAAGTAGAACCCTTAGTTAAACGTACCGCACACTTGACTTTCCATATTGGAGGATCCTTGGAAGTTGGAGCAAGAGCATCCATCTCAATGGCATCTTTCACATCATCATCAGCATATCGAAGAAAACCAGAACCTGGCTTGTATCTTTCTTCCATCATTCTATCAAATTCTTCCTCGTTTATATCTTCTTCCTTAGGAAAAACAAAGGATGGTTTGCCCTTTTCTCCCTCGCCAGGCTTAACACTCTCTTCCACCTCAGGTTCGTCTTCCATATCTGCATCAAATGAGTAGTAAGATAAAGTGGAGAACTTTATGCAATGTTGAAGCTTTAAGAGTATGAAAACCTTAAAACTAGACAAAAACAGCTCGAAATCAAACGAAAACAAAGTTCAAACCCAAACCCTAGTCTCGGAAATCAGCCATTCGACAGAGATGGCCTAACAATCGCATGCAAAGAAGAAAATCAACGAAACCAGAGAAGATAATAAAAAATTACCGTTAAGGAAACCTAATCCGTCATCATCTTCGTCGGAGCTACCTCCGTAGTAGCCAACTTCAGCGGATTCTTCGAAGAACTGAAGAACCCCAGGGTTTTTCCGCTTCTTAATCCTCAAACCTTCATCTCTGAATTCGACAGTGTTTTTCCTTTTATTTCCGCCGGAAGACGATTCATCCCCGGCGACCTGTTTACCCTTTCCCTTGCGATCCATCGTCTTCTTCGCGGTGAGAAAGTTTAGGGCTTTTCACAATTGCATTTCTTCTGAGAGAGAAGCAGAGTGAGAGAATGTGAAGAAACTATTAGAGATGTGATTGTTTTGCGACTTTTGAGTGGCTTTTTTTTATTTCACTCTTTTAGGCCTTTTTGTTATCCAAGCCAATTGGACTCTTTATTGTTTAATTTTTCGGCCTTATGATTTTTCTCAACTTTTCATGAACCCTTTTTGTCTCTACAAAAATATTCTGCTTCGTTTTATTTGGTAATAGACAAAAGTTCATGAAAATTTGAAAATATGAAGCAGTATATACAGTATACAAAACAATAACTCAATATTTTAGAATAACATGCGTATGCCTCGGACACTCTTCTCTTATACATTGATGATAAAACTAAAAAGGCTAGTTATGTGTGCAAGGTTTAACATTGACTCATGTAAACTCGAAGCTCAAAAGTCATGTAATGGTCCAAAACAAACCACAATAAAAAAAAAGGATCAAAATACAAGCTAAACAGGTCTGCAAACTAATATAAGAAAAAGACAAGTCTTTTATACCTAGAACGCTTACAGAGAGATATTCATTACCACATGCACACACAAGAGTGAGTGTATAAAAGCTCTAACCAAGCATCAATCACTTTTTTCATTAATGTCTTAATAACGGTCAAAAGTGGACGACGACGGATAAGCTCCACCACCACCACTTCGGCTTGGCCTCTCATAAGGAGCACCGGCTCTGCTTCTAAACCCTCTTCCCTCTTCTCCTCCACGGATGGGACCACCAGCTCTACCACCACCGTACCTGTCACTGCCTGCACTCGGGACTGCATCTCTCTCAAAGGACCGGGCTTTGTCATAGCTCCCTGGAGGATATCGGTCTGATCCTCGGCTGTATCTATCACCGCCTGCAAACCTATCAGCCGGGGCTGCATACCTGTCAAATCACAGAATTTAAGTTTTGTAAGCAAAGAAAGTCAATTTGAAAACCTTACAATTATCGACTTGCATCAGCAACTTAATTATAACCTGTCACTGGCGTATCGGTCACGGGGTATGTAGGCTTCTCTGCTGTCAAACCTGTCTCTAGCACCAAAGCGTGCAGCACCGTCGTATCGATCATCTATGTAACGTTCGCGGTCCACATAGCGGTCACGGTCAGCATAGCGGTCAACACGTCCATCGGATCCTCCAAACGCACCAGCACGAGAAGAAAAACCACCAACGGGTCCACCACGACTACCAGCAGCAGACGGGCAATCACGGGCCCAGTGCCCAACCCGTCCACATTTGAAGCATTCATCTTCAGCAACACGGCCACCTCCACCTCCACCAAAGCTTCCTTTTCCAGGAACTGAGTAGCCACTGTCTCTGCCACCTCTAGAGCCATGACTTTCTCCATCATCTCGCCCCAGCTTTGGTTCAGCTCTGTTCACTGAGATGACCCGATCACCAAAGTCCCTTCCATGCATCTCTCTGATGGACTCATCCATAGCACGACGATCAGCAAAAGTGATAAACCCGAATCCACGTGAACGACCAGTATCTCTTTCCAGCATTATCTATACACAACACACCATAAAAGCTGATTTCCCAAAGATATATGCATACGTGTAGCTAAAACTGAGCAGAAGGGCAGTAGTAAAATGAAACAATTGCAAAATCTGAAAGATCATATCAAGACCATGTGACATCAAAAACACCCATCCGTTTTAAGGTTCACTGCATAACACTGTGATCCTGCTTTGTGTAGTAAATAATCAATCAACCTCAACTTCAGAGCAAAAACAATACAGATCCCCAGAAACTGAATCAGCTTTAAAGCAAGTCCCAAATCTCAAGCAGAGGTAGCAGACACCACTAAAAACTTTTTCTCAGTTCAAAATGGAAACTTCCTCAATTTATAGTAGTTAATCCCTATTCTCACCAGCCATGTGATATAGTTACAAAATGAAAGAGAAGAAGGTTTACAGAGAAGGAAGTCATTTAATTAGCTGTACTCAATATTACTGATCAAACATCTGTTTCTACTCAATATGCAGATATCATCTGACATTGATCCAGCTGAAGTCATTCAGATCCACTGGAGCTGACAACTCTTTACATAGCACCACAGCCCACAGATCAAAAATACAGAATTCCTCTCACACAAAGAACTTCCGGAAAAGATAAGCACAGAGAACTGGGGTTGGTGGATCTAGAAAAAGTGTGGCCGAGAATCATTTTAATTGGCTTGCATTTGTATATAGGAAATTTGTAAGGCTGGAGAAGAAAACAGAGAGAGGAAAAGATCAAATCCATGTAACTCCTACTAAACACACAGGGTATGAGAAGCGAGATGACGGTAAAGCAAACAGCCCACAAGAAAGACAAGTAGGAAATCTGGGATAAGAAAGGAGAGGTAGTTCCAAATGATCACAGAAACCTTGAGATCTCTGCTTCAACTGAGTGTAATTTTCCGTTCTGCAGGTCATACTACGCTGAAGTATCTAAACTGCTAGCACTGACGCTCAGGGTATCAGGAGAAAACGAAATCTTGCAGCAAGAGAGCTGAATGTGGACTGGTCTTATCCAGAAATATGACTACAAAAACGTAATTACTGAAGCATGAAGAGAGCGTTTAGCATGTGAATAAACTGCAAGGAGCTACTGAATATCTACACCACGTGAAGGAGAACGGTGACTCTGGCCTACAACTAGGTAGCATCTCGAATTGACCACTCAAAAGCATCCCAGCCCAGCTAACAAACATCTATATACTAGTAAGAGCAGGAACAAGGAACATTTTCAGGAAGGAAACCATAACCCAGTGTCGGCCAACTTAGAGAACTCAAGAATAACACAGCTCAATCATGAGTTACGAAAAACAGTCATCCCTCCAGAGCAAAATAAAGAATTTCCTTCATGATAGAAGAAACTGAAGTAACTTGTTACGACAGTTCCAACCTCGTGAAACACATTCCAAAACTGTGGAAATCATTGTGCTCAGAGACTCAAACACTACTGTATATACTAAAATCTCAGGCAGTTATATTCTTTATCACAGAGCAGTTTCTCAACTTGAACCATGTAGCTCTGATCAATATCATCCCTAATTCATCAATCTACATTGTTTCAGTGATACATTAGCAGAGCATCCAGGAAAAAAAAAAAAAAAAAAAGGAAGACGATCAATAGGTGAAAAGAGGAATACTGCAAAATTTGAAGTATGTTTTCACAATCAGCACCAGTAAATAGACCACTTTTCACTTAAAAACATTCCAAAAAAAATCATAGACATGTTTCAATTCTTATCACAAAGCTATAAATTGCTATAGATAACAATCTCACTAAATTTCAGAAATATCCAGCAGACTAGTGGAGTCACAAGCTAACAAAATCAAGGAAAGAAAACTAGTACCAACCTATACAGAGAAAAAAAAAAATCAAGATGGTACCTGACAATCGAGAATGTCACCGAAGCGGCTAAAAGCTCGTTCAAGGTCTCTCTCTGTCACTTCCGGCGATAAACCACCGACAAAAATCCTACTTCCTTCTTTCGCAGCCATTTTTCACTCTTCTGTTCACAGAAAACAAAAAAAATAAGGTAAGCGAACAAAAAATCTCCAACAATTCAGCAAAAACATCGAAACTAATTCGAGAATCATATGAATAGATTCATCTTACCTCTCTCTGAATTTCTCTAAGTATTATCTGAATCGTATCCTTCGCCTCTCAAAATATCAATGGCACGAAGAAGAAGAAACCCTAAAACGGTGGTTGAGGTGCTTCGCCACGAGAAAGGTACTACACTACAGGTGCCTAAAGGCTTAAGCATTAACGATAAAGGCCCATAACCAGGCCCAATTTTATTTCATGGGCCCAAAACATAAACTTTTTCTTTTAAGCTCATGGATCCACCAATGACCGACAACAAAATAAATCTTTCCTTTTGTTTTGTTCCATCTATGATAATGTTATTGTCGACCTATTCATAGAGATTCTGTAAATATTCCACCCCAAAAATCAAAAATTGATTATTTTTTGAGATTTTGGATGCAGTTACTAATTCATGATTTGGCATGTATAAAATGAAAATTTTATTCTCGATTCTACAAGAATTTTTTTTTTTTTTTTTTTTTTTTTTTTCTACAAGAATTTTTATGAAAGCCAATTCCTCAACAAGTTTTTTTTGCCGTTTATCCTTTTCCCATTAAGATCTCTTGACAGTTTTTACAATTTGACCATGCATATAAAAATTACGTGCGAATAGTTTTAACTTTACAATTAAATAAGATACCAGAAGCTTTATTCCACGTGAGATCCAAGTCACAATGTGTAGATGACCTAATCACGTATTAACTAATAAACTAACTTTAATTAGCCCACAGTTTTGGAGCAAAACAATCTAGCAGTACTCCGACTATCCTGGTACATGCACATTCCTAATTTTTAAGTGTATTTGCACCTAATTACAAAATTTTTAATGCAAATTAAGGAAACAGTAATGTAAACATGACATAATTCTTTGTCTTTTTTCTCTAACACGTACGTTTAAACAATTTCACTTTTCATTACGAGACGAATGAATGTTTCGTAACATATATACTAATTTTTTATGTGATAGTTTAAACGTTCACGTCTTCACAGAAAGAAAATGTTTCCATACAAATCTTAGCTAGAGCGGTATATATATATGTGATAGTTTAAGATATATCACATTTTCTTTTCCGATCCAGGGCTTACATGTGTGGCATTATATAAAACGATGCCGTTGCAGACATCATGTGGATTACTAGTTAGAAGCATCCATGTTCCCATGTGGACAGATCATAGAGATGTACTTGACTTTACGATCATTACTTAAGCAAGATTTTTTTGTCATAGATTACTTAAGCAAGATGTTATAAAATGGCTTAATATTTGGAGGTACGCAAAATTTGTATGGTCAAAAAGTTTATAATCCAATTGATAAACTGTGATTGTAGAAATAGTCATCTGTTAAAGTAAGTTTGCTTTCGAATTACTAAAAACTCTCAAGACTCGAGGGAAATTCTTATAAGATAATGCATATGAGAAAATTTAATTGTAATTAATATCTCAGTACCACTTGCATTATTTAATGTATATTCCGATTGTGCTTAAACATTTTTAAAACCTAACGCAATATTATTTTGTACATTTCGAGAGATTCCAACAAATTAAATAAGTCATATGACATATATCTATTATACTATATACTTTTACATTTTGACCTAATATACCATCTATTTAATGTCATCAAAAAGTTATATCTAAAGAAACAAAAAAAATAATAATATACTATATAAATATGTGTAAATAATATTCTAAAGTATAAAATACAGAGACATGGAATATAAAACCAAAAATATATATAATCTATGATAATGTGGACAGAGGCAAAGGTACCAGGTTGTCTGCCATGATATGGGTAGATAGCTCATCTTCCCAAACAAAATAATTGTCTGCGAAGCTTTTTATTTACTATTGTCAATTTTTAAATACTTTTGGGAAAACTTTGAGTATTTCTTCCCATTTTGAATATTTACAAAGAATTATAGATGCTAGGGTTTCAAGACGTATATATATGTTCTAATTCCCGACCTTTTAGAAAATTAGTGGTGCACGAACCACATTTTAAAAACTTGATTTGATTTTTCTTTTCTTTTTTTTGGTAAAAGGTGAAATTAATTATGTATGTGACCAAACAGTTTTTGGTACATATATTTGAACATAATTTCATAGTTAACAGTGTTTGGAATAAAAATTACAGTCACAATAATGAAAGCCAACATTTGATGGCTATGATCAAAATTGGAAAGTTACAAAAAATTATAAGAGTAGTATCAATTTTTAAGTTTTCTAATAAAAATAGCCACATTCGTGTAAGTTGTAATAGGATGACCATTTATCACATCCAGTCTCTCCGTAATCCTTTCAGTTTTTTTTTTTTTTTTTCCTTTTTGACGTCATCATTCGTCTTTTATATCTAAATTTTTATTAGATTATTCAATTATTATTATTATTTAATATTCGAATTCATCGGATATTATCTAGCTAGTTAGTACTACTACTACTGTTTTGACTATTCTTGTTTTTGTTTTGTTAATATAAAAAGGAGTTTTACACATCAGCAAAGCTGTAAAATAATCAAAGAAGGTATCAACTTTAGGAGAAAAGACATCACTTTCATTGGAAAAAAGAGAAAAATACAAGTGGGATCCATGAGAATGAAATGCTTTTTTGGTGTACATGTACGTATAATTTTGAGTTTTTTAAGTGATAAATTTAGTTTTATATATATATGTTTATTAATTATATAAAGAAGTAAAATAGTAATGCATAGTGGTCTTGATTTCTAATTTTATATAGGCTTGTGGCTTTTGATGATCTTCAGGTGAAAGTGTGGGAGACAAGGAATCTCTCCTTCTTCTTGAAGTGTACTATGTTTATCAACTTGCCCACTGCACTTTACGTGTATACACACTCAGTTCCAAGTCAATTATATATATAAATATGTAACTAATTAATATTAATATGTTATCTAATCCTTAAATTACACTAACTTGTATCATGAGGAATACTCGACAACGCTTTAGAAGAGCTGGGAGTCGATGAGAAGTTAAAAACCACCAGAAAATTAATAAGTTTTGTTTTGTTTAGTTAATGGCGCTATCTCTTTGAACTTCATGCAACACAAAACATATTTGTTCTCTTAATTCGTCAATAAAACGTATAAACCTCATATAGCAAATTAAACCTAGCTCTATTCATAGTATAGTCTTTTTCTTATCCGTGTCCATTTGAGAACAAGTCAGATTTAGTGTTCGAACAATCAGTTATTTGGTATGCTTCGTAAAAAAAAAAAATCGTAATATTCATATAAAAATTATGTCCTTAATTTATAAGATTTTAATAGATTTATAAATGAATATTTATAAAAACAAACATATATATTATGTCATTCACCTAAAAAAACATATATTTATGTCTATATATATCTTTTTTTTGGTCAACAAGTTCATACTTATACATGTATATGTTCGAAAATAAATATTTACGGGTTATATATGCATTAGCGGAATATAATCTACTATTGATATTACTACCATATCAATGAACATTTGGTATTAAGGACATGTAGGACTCAAATCCATAGTGTTCGAATCGGTTTAGAGACAATGAACCAATAAATACGGCTCGGTCCAGTTCACCTAAGCCATTGCGTGTCTCTATAAATACCTCACTTCACCTTCTTCTTCACTTGCACCTCTCACTACCTTTCTCTAAAACTAGTCTTGTGTGCCGTACCCATTTATGTGTACGTACTATTGTCTCATAAATAAAATAATTTTTAATGCATTTATTGATATGAAAAGTTACAAGATTGGTTTGTTGTGTGTGAGCCTTTGGATCGACAGATTAACTAACCGGTCAGTACTGGATATATTAACTATTATCTCTTCGACCTATCATATGCTTCATTGCTTATATTTTCACATCATTTGTTTCTTACGGTCTAAAAATACAGAATATTCCATATATTTTTCTTATGACGTAAAAGGACCAGTTATAAATTGACACGTCAGCCCTTGGATTCTTGAGGTTTTTCTCTCTACTTCACCTATCTACTTTTCCTCATATCCGACTGCTTTCTCCTTCTTCTTCTTGTTTTTCTCGTTTTTTTCTTCTTCTTATTCTTCTCCAATAAAATTGAAAACGGAAAGATTAGATCTATTTTGTTTAGCAAGAAATTATTATTTTCGCTTTTTCAATCATATTTCGTATTGTTCCATTATGTTGTATAATAATAGATACTCGATCTCTTGTGTGTGTGTGTGTGTGTAAGTTCTATACAAGTTGTCGGCGGATCCATGGAAGATAGCTCATCTGTCGTTGTTTGTAGGTGCAGCACCATCAAGATTCACATGAAAATTGATAAATCTCCTAAATTAGGGTTTTGATATGTATATGAGAATCTTGATGATGCTGCATCAACAATCGACGGCTACAAAATACCTAAAGCTCGAGAAAGAAACTTGAAGATGTTAATTGAAGTCTGGATCTTTGGTAAATCTCTATCTTGATTAGTTTGAAGAATCACTTTTTTTTTTTTCTGTGTTTGAACATTGTTTACATATATCATATATGTCTCTCTTTATATATATATACACATTGGGTGTTATATATATCTTCTTAATCTAGGGTCAATTAATGACGGATTAGGGCGTTAATTACAATGAAATGGAAAAACTAGTTTGCCTTTGATCTTGGCTTATGTACATGAGGAACAGATGTATAATGATGTTATGTAATATATATCTTAACTGTATTTTTTCTAGGATCATATGATTTTCTTTAGTCTCCATTATAGGTGATGCTATGATCAAGAACAACAAGATCGTGAACACAGATCGGATTGAGTCACTTTTTAGGAAGAAAGATCGATGTTATATTGTCATTATTATCAGGTCTAATAAATATATAAAGTTCGTCCAGATGCCAGACCTTTTATAGTTTCAATTTTACGACAGTCTTGTAATTATATTTGTTTAATAGTGTGCCACCTTCTATTTCTGGGTTATTACTTGGTCCCAAATTTTTCTTCTTCTTCTAATTTTGTAATATTAGAAATTTGGTTTTCTTGCCAAATCAAATCAAACATTATGGTGTGTTGTACATTGTACTAGAACTTTGTTTTCAAGTGCTCAACTTGAGAACCATTAGTTTCGATTTACATATCTGTTTCTAAACCAAAAATAAGAAGATAACATGTGGACACAATTTCGCTTAAATATCTAATCTTGTAACCATATATTTTGGGTAAAATTTCTAAAACAAAAAGGAACAGAGTAAGTATACTATATATTATTGGTGAATTCATGAACAAGAGAGGTAGGTGGAGAGATGAAATGTTGTGCATACCATATAAATGATAGACTCTATTACAGTGAAAACCAAAAGGTTAGTCCAAACATCAATACATATACATAACATGTGATGCAACATTTCATTAGTGTTGACGCAATCTGACGCATACATGAATTCACATATATAGCTAATCATCTACAAATACTGCGAAGATATGGAAACTACATTTTTTTTTTTATTCGTGCAATGACGTATGTGATTGCGTCTTAGCTAGCTACGTAAGTGGTTTTGTCTTTATTTTGCCAAGCCTTGCATTAGAACATTGAGTTTTATTAGAACATTGAGTTGTTTTTACTACGAAATTCCAAATCTTAATTCCCTAAACACTTTAAGCAGTGAATCAAAACAAGCTATATATATTAGTTTGTTTTCTGTCCAGTTCTCATGGTTTTGAATTATATAAAGCAATAATGATAAGTGTATATATAAGACATTCCATACATTTTCTTGATATATGCATCGTGTATCAAAACACTAATTACGGAATGAATATTGGTCATGCATCATAAACTTATAGAAAAACTGCCATATGGTTCCAAAAAGAAATTAAGTTAAGGAAGAATTGCCCCACAAAAATCCATTGTAGAGATGGAGAAGGGAGAATCTAAAGATATTGTGTCAGGTTGGGGCCAGCAATTAAAGACAAGTTTGAGTGATTGTTTTGTCCTTAATTTGGCATAACTGATGAAAGGCAAATTAAATAGCAAGAGTAAAGTGTCAAGTTAAGAGTTGGTGGTGATTTGGGATCATCACAATATACCGAGTTATTGATCTCAGTAGTAACTTTGTGTGTGTTAATTAGTTGTCCCGTAAAGTTAAATTTACCAATATGATTGATGTTTTTAGATTTGCTTAACAAATTCCGGTTGAAATTCTTAATAACTAAACACTATACTACTAGTTTTTTTTTCTTAATGAGGTTCTTTTCCACAACTTATCTTAAATACATTGTTACATGATTGTCTTAAATATTTTTTTAATCGATTGTCGGATTATTTTTTGTTCTAACAATTATCACCAAAAGCATAAAATTAGTAGGCGTTATAGTCTAAACCAAAAATTAGTGGTCCATTAATGGCAGATATCGGATGATGAAGTTTTCTAAATGGATTTAGAATAGGACTCACAAGCAGTTTCTCGTTGACTAATGTAAGATTAAGAAAAAAAACAAATTTATATAGATCAGTTTAGGTTTCTCTCTAGTCTCTACCTTCCTTTGGGAAAATATAGTAGGAGCTAGTCTTATCATGCCTACATTTAGTTATTTGTATATATGTTTTACATAGACTTAGGGAATGATCAATGATGTCTAGGGCTTCACTTCCACTCGGTTACGAATTATGAAAAAGTAAATGCTCTTGTATATTCTAAACTTTTCCTTTTATAGATAAAAATATATTCTCAAAAATCTACAAAACCGTTTGATCGGTGAAATCTTTGACGAATACGAATGGTTAGGCTTACAGCATAATATATTAGCTTCTTTTAGATGAAACATTTTATAATTGGTTGATTAATCATGAAATTTTACTATACCAAAATGACGAAAGTGAAATAGTATATGACACGTAGGAGGATGTTGTACCAATAAATATGAGGGACACGAGTCACATGGTGGCTATTGAACTTATGGTAGCTAAGCATCCATAGTACTATCTTGATATTAAGTTATTGTACTATTTATCTCATATATACAATGTATATATTATTTTAGAAAATTTCTGACGTACTAATTGATTGTGACTATTTCACAAAACCACACATAACATTTAACTTTGGAAGGCCAAAAGAAAAGTCCTCGTTAGAGCTACTCTATTCCCTTATAAATTTGAATTAGTACGTTTTATTCCAATCAAATCAACAGAAAATGACATCAAATATTACAACATCGACAGCCAACGTACAATTGATGCCATTGACAATATAATACTATAGAAGCAATCTAAATGGTTGTTATATTTAGTTATTTCTACAACTGCGTAGACGGAAAATCGATTTATTGTTTTTGAAAACATACAAATGAACCTTCAAAAAAAATCTCTATATTTAAAATTTAGCTGATAACTAAGTTTTAAAATAAAGTATTTAAGTTCAGATTTTAAAATTATTTTTAATTAAAATTATCTATTAGAAAAATAACTTAAAGAGTCAAAGATAAGCGATATAAAAAAAATAACAATAAGTAAGCCAATACTTTATGCAGTAAATTTAAATTTCTTCCTCATTATCATGACCATATTAGGCCACATAAAGCCCAATTTAATTAGTTGATACCATATTAAGCACCACAAGCTTAACAACTCACAGTGACGCCCATTTACTAATGAGCCCGTTTCGTATTTGTAAGTAATTAAGTAGCGAATAAAATATCGCCACGTGTTCGTTTCAAGCAAATATGACTTATTTATTAATCATTATAATAACTACGAAAAAATAATGATTTTAATTGACATTGTAAAGTTTTACTGTGTTAAAAAGGATGACATTGTTTTACAAGTATAGTGATTGACATAAAAAAAAAAAAACACAATGAATAAATTTGGATCTATGGTCTCAAGTCAACTAACATAACATATATTTCGATCTATATTGAATTTGATCGATTTAAAGTCGTAAATCATAACCTTATGCAAATATATACTCTCTCGAATCTCGAAGTTTAGATGCTAGTGATTTAAATGAAGTGGGAGCTTTACTATATATATTCGTCCATGACTTACATATATAATAATTCAGCATGAGACCTTAAAACGTAGAGTAGTCAAAGTGGACGTACTTCCAAGGTAATTAAGAATTAGTTGGGACTTTATAATATTTTTAGTGATGATAAAGCAATAAGATCTATTATTATACTCTATTTTTGTAATTATATGATTGCTGAAATGTGTACCCAATTAGGAATTCACAAAAATAAGAAGAAGGAAAAAGAAAAAAAAGAAACATTAACTAACGGTAACTAATTGTCATGTGTAGAATTTTGTTTAGATTGGAAATGTAATAATAATATTGATATATTAATTTACTTCAAGAAAATATTGGCAAAATAAAAATAAAGAGTCGGTGAGTGTATCTTGTTTCTTATTTGGTTTTAAAAGGAGAGCGTATTAGTGATTTGAGCCACCAACGGACCATTAATTTCATAAAGAAATCCTACCGTTAAAACTAATTTCAGATGGTTTTCTCTCTTCAAATTTTGTTTTTCTTCTTCACTTTTCTCTGTCAAGTTTGGATTTTTGAAGATGACAGAGGAAAGAAACATTAGAGCCAAAATGATGATGACTTCTTCCTCAAGGTAACTTTCTTCTATCAATCAATGAATCAAATCAATGGTTTTTTTATTAATACAAAATTTCTTTTATCTCTAGGATTCCGGTGGAATTGAGTAGGGACATCGTTGAAGAGCTATTTGCGAGGGCCCCAGTGAATTTCATTCGCCGCTTCCTTTGGACTGAAAAGGAGTTGACAGAGAGACTCACATCACAGGTTTTTGCCCATAGATTCCAAGAAGTCGAGAGAGAAAAACCAAAAGCTTTGGTTTGTGTTTTTGTATTTGGTAATTGGTTTTATGAATCATGGTCCAACAGACGGCAGACACCAGTCACTATCAGACTTTGTCCAATGACAGAGGGCCTAGGCAGAGCTTACTACTATGAAAAAGAATTGATTTTGTACCCTAGGGTTGATTCAAGGATACTCCTATTGAATCCATTAACAACACAAAGGATAATAGCTCCTGCTTTACCCAAGAAAGTAACCATAGCTTTCTTAGGATTTGATATTTCTTGGGGGTTGTATCGACTACTAGTGGCTTGTGAAGAAGCAAAGGACGTTGTCTACTTCCTGTTAACCTTGGGTCAACGTGAATGGAAAATGATTCATAGTTGTGGTGTAACATTTAGGCCTCACCGTCCACGTCGCTAAGTGTTAATTTCCATAAATGAATTGCTTTACTTTGGAGGTGATGGATCTAGTTTGATACTCTTCAACTTCATGAAACTTTCACTCATATTTTTTTCACGTTTTTGGATTTCTCTCTCGTCAAACCTTGAGCTTTTTTTCTTCTAGACCACTTGGAACCGATGGGTAAATTTTGTACGTTATTTCAATCAAATCAATAGAAAAATGAGATTATATATAACAACATCGACGACCAACGTACAATTGATGCCATTGATGATATAATGCTATAGAAGCAATCTAAATGTTGTGAAATTAAGTTATTTCTACAATTGGGTAGACGGAAAATCGATTTATTATTTATGAAAAACATACAAATGAACACTTAAAAAAAATCTCTATATTTAAATTTTTTAGATAATAACTAAGTTTTAAAATAAAGTATTTAAGTTCAGATGTTCATAATATTTTTATTTAAAATTATTTATTAGAAAAACTACTCAAAGATAAATGATATATAAAAAAACTAACAATAAGTAAGCCCATACTTTATGCAGTAAATTTCAATTTATTCTTCATTATATTAGGCCACCACGAGCCCAATTTAATGAGTTGATAGTTGATACTATATTAAGCCACCACAAGCCCAATAAATTACAGTGAAGCCCATTTACTAATGAGCCCGTTTTATACTTGTAAGTAATTAAGTAGCGAATTAAATATCGCCATGTGTTCGTTTCAAGCAAATTTGACTAACTTTTCTTTTTCGATTTTTGGAAATTTTCGATTCGGTTACCATCAAATTTTGGGCGGGCGAGGAATAAACCGGTCGAGAGTTCACGAGCCACGGAGAGATCTTGGCGATGAGTTGCCGGAGATTCTTCTCGATCCCGGTCCTTTCGGTGATTCTGGTGATGGGTTTCGTGTACTACGTCACGCTCTTCGTTTTCATTGATGATTGGGTTGGTTTACAAAGCTCAGCTGGGAAATTAAACGCCTTACTCTTCAGCTTCTTGGCGTCTCTCTGTCTCTTCTCGCTCTCAATTTGCGTTCTTGTAGATCCAGGTCGTGTTCCAGCATCTTATGATCCTGATGTTGAGGACTCTGGCTGGTCCAATAGTAACGTAAGCTTCTCCTGTGTACCTCTGAATTTGAAGCATTTGGGGATTCATGTTTTGTTGCTCTTTTGAACCACTAGTGGTGATAAATCTGTGAATCTTTATGGTTTGCTAGTTCCTCGAATTTCATTGGTTGAGAAAGATTGATCCTTTTGCCTTTATTGATCGGTAACAGATTCTTATATTGTCATTTGAAGAAGTTTAGTCTTTTGAATTTGGAAGAGGCTCACAATAGGTGAAAGTTGATGGCTTTTTCTCTTTGGTGTTACAGAAAAGGGGTTTAATGTTAGTGTTAAGCTTAGGAAGAATAGCTATATCACTGATGCTGTTTGATATAGAGTAGCTGCTTTAATTTTGAAATCCTCGAGTTCTAAATTTGCCTCCCCCTGGATAATTTGAGATTGCAAGTGGGCATAGAATGATGTTGTTCTGATGTGATTTAAATTATTAGGCTACAGAAACAAGGAAATGTGATAAGTGCTTTGCATACAAACCTCTTCGGACTCACCATTGCCGAGTTTGCAGAAGATGCGTCTTGAAGATGGTAGGTAAATTTTAGCACTTTTGAGTCCAAGCTTTGTCAGAATGTTGTGTATCGAGATTCGTTTGTAAACGGTTTTATATGTACATATGTGACAGGACCATCATTGCCTTTGGATAAATAACTGTGTTGGTTATGCAAACTATAAGGCTTTCTTCATTCTTGTGTTTTATGCAACTGTGGCTTCCATCTACTCTACAGTACGTAAATCCCAATTCTCAATTTATGAATCTTTTTCTTGGTGAGACTTTCCTCTTATGTGTATGAATGTTAATTTAGGTGTTGCTGGTTTGCTGTGCATTCAAGAACGGAGATTCCTATGCGGGAAATGTTCCACTCAAAACTTTCATTGTAAGTTTTGTTTACTGGAAAGTCTTCTCTAGCTTCTGCATCTTTAGCATTTAAGCGATTTTCATAGGTCTCAAAAAAATGCTGCACTCTCTCAAAAACTTGTTACTTGTCATCAAGCAGATTTCTTGTGGGATCTTCATGATCGGACTAAGCATAACACTTGGGACTCTCCTTTGTTGGCATATCTACCTCATCGCACACAATATGACCACCATTGAGGTATGCATTCTATTTTTCCTCTACAGTCTTCAAGATAGGACGCATAAGGCTTTCTTCCATATAAAATTTCAATGCGTAAATCGGCAATTTTTCTTTGTAGCATTATGATTCAAAGCGGGCCTCGTGGTTAGCTAGAAAATCAGGACAAAGCTTTAGGCATCAATTCGATATTGGTGTTTACAAAAACATCACCTCGGTACCTTTCATTACATTGACCTCTATCACTTGTGTCTTACACAATGTGAAGTCTTCAGTCAATTCATCGCTGTTATGTCTTTCTGATCAAGAACTTGACCAGAAAAAGTTACATGCTTTTCACAGGTGTTAGGCCCTAACATGATCAAATGGCTATGCCCCACATTTACTAGGAATCCTGAAGACGGTATTAGCTTCTCTGCATCGAGAGATAGCTAGCTTAAAAATTTCAGTCACCGATCTCCAGTTACAGTTTCAGCGGATCTGCCCAACAATTCAATCATACACTTGTACATTTTTTGTGACCTCATAAGCCAAAATATGGAACAGTGTTCATGTCTTTCAGGTTAAACAGAGCTAAACGAAGTTGATATATTCTTTTGCTTCTTGAACAGTGTTGACGTGACAGTTTTGTAAGATAAAACAGCTTCAAGTATGGTTTTTGATTTGTATGATCATCTGAATGTTGTTGGGTTTTATTGTTTCGTATAAGAGTAAAAGCTTTAATCCGATAATACCTTAAAACGGTGGGAGCTTTTCCTAAAACTAAAAGAGTTTATATTTCTGGTATATTTGACTATTGGAGGTTACGTATTATTATTGCTAATCTTGTTGAGAGTTTCAGTGAAAGAGAATGACAGAAATTGTAAATTTGTCATCGTCTCTGAGATCTTTAAACCCAAAGATCTCAGCTTTGGTTCCTCCATATCTCTCTCGTCAAACCTCGAGCTCTTTCTCTCAACAGAGAAAATTCAAATTTCATTCTTTTCCCGATAAAATCTGTTTGGCAGCGGAGAGAATCCGAGCAGTCGATGCCCTGAAGCAGGACGGTGGTTTGCAAGAGCTCGATGACTCTCCGGTATCTGTTGAGCTCGGGCCGATCTGTGGCGAGAGCCACTTTGATCAAGTGATGGAGGAAGCTCAGAAGCTTGGTGAATCAGTTGTGATTGTCTGGTGAGTTTCTAGGTTAGAGTTTGTTAATTACATGAGATTTTAGATCAAATCTATATAGGATTGGTTTCTTGATTCTAGTGGCAACAAGAATCTGATGGAAAAAAAGAGTACTTTGCACTCAGATTCTTCCCACGTTTTTGGATTTCTCATGGTCTTGGTCTTCATTCTCCTGAATTTGCAAATTGTTAGTTTTCTTCATAAAGCTCGAGTCTTTGCTCTCTTATGTGTTTGATTGTGTATTTATGGTTTGGTGAAGATTAGCTACATGGATTTTGTAGGATGGCAGCTTGGTGCAGGAAATGTATTTACTTGAAACCAAAACTCGAAAAGCTAGCTGCTGAATTCTATCCAAGGTTTTTGAGAAATTTTATATTCTTGATTTCAGAGAATGTTTGCCATAAATGTGATGGATTTGGATTTGACAGTGAGATTCATTCTAACTGGTGTCTACATTTTTACCTTACTTGTGGTTTTTCTGATTGAAACTATTTCTTCCAGACTGCGGTTTTATCATGTTGATGTCAACGCTGTGCCATATAGACTTGTTTCCCGTGCAGGAGTTACGGTAAGCCTATTTGTACCAATCTTCCCATTTTGTTAACAACTCTTTTCGAAATAGTTTCAATCAGATGCTTGGATTGTTGTCTTGTTGATCTAACAACTACTTGATCAATGTTTGGAACACCGGGGACACAGAAAATGCCAACGATACAGGTCTCTTTTTATCCTTTCCCATATCTTCAAGACTAGACTCTGACTAAACTCTTTTCAAAAACAATCACTGATTCTGTGTCTTATGCACTCTGCAGCTATGGAGAGATGGCCAGAAACAAGCTGAAGTTATCGGCGGCCACAAAGCGCATCTTGTGGTTAACGAAGTCAGGGAAATGATAGAGAACGATTCAATCAGTTGAATTGACGGTCTCCAGACTCTGCTCTTTTTTCCTCAGATTGTTCTTAGTTTTTTGGGGTCACACTCAATAGGAATGTTCAGTTATGGGAGTATGTGACTATTCTCTTTATCGAAGATTGGTCTTGTTTTTTATCTGTTCTGTAACTAGACTACTGGAGTAAGTAAGGGATACAGATTGAGGCTTTGGTAAGCAAGAATTGTAGCCATCCTTTATCGGTTGATTCCCACAAATGTAATGTAATGTAAACCTCTTATTTATAAGATCAATACAACTTTTATTGAAAAGAATGAGCAGACTATGGCTAATGGGATTATGTTCAGTATATACAAGAGCATAATGCTCTCTAAAACTAAATATTCTAAGTTAGAAAAAAGAATAAACATATTGATAAGCAGACTTCACTAACTTTGTGCTTCCATCAGAAGAAAGAAAGCTCAGAAAACCCAATATTTCTTCTTCTTCTTGCCTTCCGGTATGGGCAGCTCTACACATTGCCAAGAACATAGGAAGACAAAGCTCAATAGTCAAACTAATTTGATCAAACAATTATTTAACAGAATCCATAACAGATTATAATCATACAAGAAATGTCACATACCTCCTTCAGGATAGATTGAATTGTAATGAACCTCAGCCCAGAAGCTTAAACATATAACTGATTCAAAAGACAACACATTAATTTATTGCATGTCTGAGATTTTGGGTTAAACGAGAGAATATTTGCAGTTGTAGGTGACGTACGGCGATTAGACTTCTGAAAATGCGGTAAGATCTCAATGTAACATGTATCCTTGAATGACGTTATCACAAACATCCGAACACCAAACTGCAATAACAGCAAAAAAAAGGTACTTGAGTAGCTAAATCTCACCTCATTCCCTAAAGATTCTTTCATCTTACACACAAAATTTCTACAGAAAAGAAAGTGCTTAGGTTGTGTAAGTACCCAATCCGCAGCAGCCTGAAGAGTAACGTGATCACCCCATTCTCCATTCCTGTGTTCCCAAAACATTAGGAAATTCTCACCATTAGTGATAAGCTAAAGCAGTAACCTTCAATGGTAGGAATTGAGAGAAATAAGTTTCTGACCGTTTCATTGCTTTAAGATAGTCATTGTACGCCATTGGAACATAACCTTCATACATCTCTCGATTATATGCAAGCTGGAATATATATGTGAGAATGTTAAATCATCAAAGGATAAGAATATTGAACTGAAATGGAGGGGAATAGATTCTTTTCTTGGTACTATATCTCAACCTGATTAACAACTTGTTCTCTGACAAAGTTATGGTGTTCTGGAGAGCGGTAAAGCTGGTCTGATAGTGACCGAAACTGAGGAAAAATGTAAACCAGTGAGACGCTGCTAGAGATTTATCTGTAAAGCCTTTATTAGAAATGAGAAAAAGAAAAAAAACCTGGCAGTTTCCATCTCCTTCAATCTTGTTCTCCACCAAGCCATAAAGCTGTAACCTGTAGTGTATAATTGGCATACATAAGAATAGATTTCTAAATATCCATTCAGAAGCTTCTATAAATCTAAGATTCATTGCCAACTTAAAACAATCCGTTTGGACCCTTAGCACTAACTAACTAACTTGAGATTAGAGATATGATTGCATTTCTAAGTTCTAGCAGGTTAAATAAAACCAACATACTCACGGAAATGGTGACAAGTAATTGTTCTCTAGCCTGTATTGGATACCACATCTATAACATACCTCTGAAATAGCCGTTCATGATCAGATATCTGTTCATCCTCTGACGGTAATTCCCCATTGATTTTTGGCACGTGCTGCATCACACCGAGCAAAATCAGGGGTTTTAAAACTTATATATGCTTCTGATAAGTTGATCAGAAAACCTCACAAAGAAGAGAGGTACTTACAGCAATAGGTATCATTTGATTCAGTCGCTTCCCAACCTCTGACCAAGATTCTTCTTCTATTTCTACAGAACAAACTGAGTCATCATCACGAGATGGGGAACTTTGCCCTCCTTGAAATCTTATCCTTGCAACATTCTTATCTTCCATGTTACCGTTATGATTATGAAGAATATCACTTTCCCGGGATATATCAATGGCTTCCCCTTGATTTTCCTGCCCTGCAGACAATAACCAAACTCATAATGATATACACAAAAACTGAAATCTTGTTCCAAATGATGAATCAAAAGAGATTGTTTAGACAAATTCTTAAAAGCGAAGAACTTTGAAAATCTACCTCGATGAGGATGAGGCCACTCTTGTGCAACAACTGAAGTAGGACTAAGATTATTGAGCCCAGATGCTTCGGCTCGAGCAACTCTAGACAATTCGTCTTGATAAAACTGAGCAATTGCCGCATCATTGTCTACATAACCAGTCAAAGGCTGATTATAACCTTCTCTAACATAGCCTTGAGTACCACCACCACCTGACTCATACCTTGTTACACTAGAGCAAGAACCAGCATTTGTAAGTGTACAAACCTCCAGATCATGAAGACCCCAGCGAAGAGCATCAGGATCAGGCTCATACCCCATTTCTTCAAAACTGATAAAATTGTCAAACTTTATAAAACACAAACAACCAAAATTGCGTTTTTTGTCTTGCTCTTGCGTTTAGAATTGAGTTGCCTGCAAAAGATGGAAAACGAGGAACGCATGATCATTAACAAACTCTCTCTAACATCAACCAAAACGAAGATATGATGTATAAACTATCAAAAGAAACAGATTTCAATAGTAATGGTACTTGATTCTTGCAAATCGTGAAACATCTAATCTAAAATAAACAAAAAGCTTACCAAATTTCACCAAAAAGCCCCAACAAATCCAACAACATGATAAATATTTAATAACAATTGATTGACCTTTTCAAAACGAATTGATCAAATGAAAAGAAAGAGAAAAAAGTTAGAGAATTTGGAAAACTCACCAACCTCGGGAACTTGGAGATCGCTGAAACTTTTTGATGAAAATTTAGGGAACGAGAAAAAGTGAAAGAAAGAGAAAACCTTTGAAGATGGGTTTGGTCAGAGAGAGAGAATCGCAGCCGTTGAAAAAAGAAAAGAGCCGGCAGATATATATAACATTAACGGCGTTTCACACCGTCGTCGGGTTAATATCGGAGGTCGGTTGCTAAAGACAATCCTAAAACCCCGCTATTTCCCAATAACCTTCCCTGATTTGTCCACGTGTCTCCACTTTTTTAACGATTAGATCACGCTTTATTTAATCCTTCTCAGATATTTTCATTTATTGAGAAATAAAATATCATAAAATTACCAAATAATTTTGTTTTTCTATTCCTACAAATATTTATAAATTTTATATTTATTTCTTCAAATTTACATTCATATAATCTTTAATCACTGTACATTTAATTTTTCCATTTTTTTCTTACTCATTATAGTTGCACATATTACTTCATTTGGCATGTGTGTTATCGTATTTGGTATCAGGGAGTCGCTGTCACGCTGAGGTACGAGGTGGTTTACTAGATATTACAATCATTAATAATTAATGGTTATCTTGGGTTTTTTGTTTTGTTTTTCACACCTTCAATCATCTAATCCAAGTTCTACTATTCCTTCATATTTGCTGGTTTAAATAGGCAGAATAAATATTATATTATTACTAGCATTATATCGTGATTTTAATAAGATACGTAATCGATATCGTTAGATAATAAAACCCTTCGTGGAGGCAGAATCTACAATACAAATAAGAATTAAAGATAATGATTAACTCACGTATACGTAACAACAATATCTGACATAGATTCCAAGTTTAATACACGTGTGCGTCAATTCCAAATGACACACATATCATACTTCTCACGTAACCAAACTCAAAAACTCAAAACTTATGTTATGTGAAAGACAGATATTTGTTAACTGGGAGAAAACAAGATTTGTGTTTCACACCCACAAGTTGTTCCAAAATAATTTTTGTTAAACCGTTTGCGAACCTAATAATAAGAGATCTGGGATTAAATAGGTAAATCATGCATATTAACATTTTGAATCCAATGGTTACGAGTTTAAAAGTCAAAGCAAACAAGAGTGTGAGTGAGGCCCTTCTCAAAAGTGGAAAGAAGTCACATCTACTACAAAAAGAGACATAACAACGGTCTAAAACACTAGACAACAACTAAAAAAACCAACCAGCTATTAGATCTTACAACAACTCTCAATTCCAAAGAGAGGCCCTTTCACTTTCTCCAGCCATCATTTTGCAGCATTCATTTGCCGTTCTATGTGACATAGTGCAGGGTTTTCCGTCTGTGGCGACTATAATCCGATACAAACCTAAACGACAGTCCGCATCCATCCACCTTGCATTTGTATGGTCGTTCTCCTGTGTGCAGACGCAAATGCTCTGTCCTCGCCCATTGCCATTTGAAAGTCATGGAACATCCTTTCCAAGAGCACTCGAAAGGTCTTTCATCGTTATGAACACGTTGATGAAGCACCAGATATTTGTGAGCCCTGAATTTCTTTCCACACCCTTCGTGAGTGCACCGGTTTCTCTTGTGAGCTTGTAATTTCGCCTTACTCTCAAAAGTCATCTTGCATCCCTCTAGGTAACAACAGTTGGGGTGAGTTGTCGTGGGGACTTCTTGGTGACGACTCCCTGAGCAAGCCTTTGGAGTTTTCTTGAGCTTTTTCGCAATGGGATCCTTCTCTTCATCACTAGTTTCAGTGAGCTTTAATGAAGTTTCACATGTTTCTTTCCTCTTACCCCTTGACCTCAACCCTTCACAAGGACTCCTTATGAAACCAATGCTACTCTCTAGATTATCATTTGTCTCAGACTCTGATTCTATTTTCCGCTTCTTCTTTGTTTCTCCCATAGAATTGGGAGCCTCGATAACCTCAGTGTTTTCTGAGCTTGAAACTTCGCTCTCCATGCTAAGCTCATCATCTAGAACTTGCAATCCATTTGAAGAAGCTTGATCACCGTTGCTCGAACTTAATATATCGCTACTTTCCAAAGGTTCACCATCATGGGTCATGTCAACAACTATGTTCTCACTGGCCGTGTTTATTTCAGGAATTTCCATACCCACTTGAGCTGAAGAATGCTCAGTGTGCAAAATAATTTCAGAGCACAAGTTTTCTATGGTACACACAGCTTCTGCTCCCTCCACCTGTGCGTGATCACCAGATACAGCTTCTCTTTTGGTTGGTTGCACCATCTTTGATTGCTGTTCATCCTCGATATTAGTGACAGTAGACCTAGGTTCTCCAAACTCTTGGTCACTCATTTCAACCGCTTCCTGAATACCACGTACAGACACATCACTGCAGACATAATCACCAGACAATTTTCTTGGTCCACCATGATTATTATCTGTAGAAACAAGTATGGTCTGGCTTGCCACAACATGACTACCTGAGTTGGAGCCATTATTGTTGCTGGTCAAAGAGTGTCCTTGGTGCTCTCTAGATATGGAGGTTAAGGTTAGGTCAGCAGAGTCTGTATTCCCCATACTGGAACTATTTGTGACATTCATATCTAAAGCTGAACCAAACTTGACAGTGATCTCGGGATGTTCTTGCCCATGTCCCACAGTGAAAGATGAGCTACAAGGATTTATGGAAAATGATACCCCAATGACCCTTCCAGAGTCTCCAATCTCACTGTTCATCTCAGAACGAATTGCACTATCCAGATGTGACCTATTGGTAAATTTATTGCATGTCTTATCAAAATCTTTTGATTTAGCTAGGGTAGCTAGCTCCTGACCTTGTTCTGCAGAAGGCTTTGGATTCAACTTTTTCTTTCTAGAGTACTGGATGATCTTTTCTTCCTTTTTTCCGGCCTGAGAATCCAAATTATCCCTTAATTTTCCATCTGCTTTTACTTCAAGATGTTCACGAGGTGTGAAACTTGAGGTAGAAATGGGTTTAGCTTTTGAGCGTGATTTTCTCTGCAGCCATCTCATAGTTGAAATATCTAGCATCTGGCTTGTATCGGAGAACAAGCCACCTAGTGACAGTGCATGCTGAATTTTCTTAGTAGGGGAATTTTTCCTCACTTTAACACAGTACCGTAAATTGATGCCAAGTTCTGAGGTCCAGTCTACACCGTGTTCGTAGTTTTCTTCATCTTCAATTGCAAGATCAATTAGACTCAACTCTTCCTGAGATGCACTCTCTAACAGGACATCATCATAGCTGAAAGGGACTTTGACCTCCTCTGCCACTATAGCCGCATGTGCCTTAAATTTTTGAAAGTCTGCAACAATTTCAAAAAGGTTACAGCAGAATGATCAACAATCAACAGATTTTTACATAATTTTCATTTTCAGGTGGGTGTAAAACTCATAATTCTCTCCTATACAACAGTTTGTCAAAAAGTAGAGCAAATGATGCAGACTAACCTTTATGGCAAATTACAAGGAACTTCAGTCCACCTCTGGATTGCAGCAGTCTCTGAAGTTCAATAGTGTGTTCAAGGCAGAAAATGCGAGGTCTTATATATCTAGAAGACTTTTTCCATTCGCAGTCAGACTTTTCTGATGACAGTGTAGTAATTTCCTGAGCATCTGTATAGTTAATAGAAACACAATTAATAGGCTTTAAAAGGCATATGATGCAGTTCATAGCTTGGATAAAAACTGATCTGTTACCTGTCTCTCCTTGTCTCTCTGAGAGATCTTTTAATGCTTTTTCTGAAGGCTGGACCACAGACATAAAAGGGAAGCCAAGAACGCCACACGCCACACATGGCAAGGTTCCAGAATCAACTTGGAATTCGTTAAGCAGACCATCATCATCGTCGTAGTATACATCATTCAGTTTCTCCATGAACAAGCTCAATTCCTCTAAAAGAGTAGTCTTCTCTTTATTCTGCAATTCAGAATGACCCTCCTCAAGTTCATTTGTTGCCACTGCTGGAGGTGAAACAGCAGAAGCAGCAGGAACTCCAGCAGCTGCAAGAGCCAGTGCGCTATGACGCGAAAGTAAATCAGGGTCCCACATCACCAAACGAGAGCCTGGTTCTCGAAGAAGAACAGATAAATTCTTGTTTTCGTTCAATATATCTTCTACAAAAGCTCTTCTCACAAGGAACTCTCTTTCTTCTCTCTGCCGATCTCTCAGTCGGGAGCTACGACCACCTGGTAGCAATGATCGTGGCACTCTGGAAAATGTAATATTTACAAGAATATGAGCATTGACATGGTCCATCAAAACTTAAAAGGTTATCTGACAAAGAGATCATGGTAACCTGCCTCGAAACAAAGGACATGGTCAAGAGATATAGCAGCTGCTGATGGGACAGCATGGGTAGATAATTCATGGCTGCCCGACGCACAGCAGCTTCCTTAGCTACGTTGAGCCACTGTGGGGTTCCAAAATTAGCGGCTTCCCCACAGTTAAAACCTAGGAAAAGTTATATTAAATCTGCTTAGTTATGGATTCCGAAAAGTTCGTAATTCGTATTCCTAATCTAAGCCAAACTAACCACTTTTTACTATGTGACTAATCTAACTACTCAATAGAAATATGATTCTTCATTCTTCTGATTAGAAGATCAATCCTCACCTCATGCTATGTCGATAAACACCCTTTTTCTCCACAGCTTTATTCAATTTTTCACATTTTCTCAACCACTTTAGAGAGTGCAAATGGAATGAATAGAATCACTAAGACTTGAAATAATTGTTTGAAAAAAGGCATTTTACCGTGGCTGAATCCTACATGATAAGACCTCGGAAAAGTCACAACAAATTCACCAGGATTTTGTACCAACCTACGTAGGCAAACAAAGACAAATAAACATAGATATAGCAGAACATGGAAGTATTTATAAGAAAACATATACTGCCTCACATCTCCACATAACAGAAGTGAAAGTTTCAATGAAATCAAAGGCCTACCTACAGCAGGGAATGCCAGATGCAACTATCATCTCAGGTGATACAAGAGTTGTCTTTTCGCCTAGTTGGGTGAGAGCAGCTGATAGTAACAACGAGCAGAGAAGAGTAAATGAGAACCAGAAGGACAAAGCATTTCCTAAGAAGTATTGCAATGTCTTCTATCTATCATAGCGTAAAAGCAATAAGACCTACGACATTTAACCACGAGTAATAAACTCTCTTCATACCATGGTCAATGTTAGCCACATTTTCATTTGCAAAGTAGGAAATTGATGCTATTAAAGAAAAAGTCGATGTGGTAATCATTCTAGGAAACCTCATTTTTCACATGCATTATAACAACACATCTCTAAATATACAGAATCAGTATATCATCTTTAGGAGTAGTTTTCAAAAAGAACGTACCCAATTGGTCAATGTTTCTGCCATAAGAATTTTTGCGGATAACCTCTTCAAAGTCAAGCGCATAATCACAAGGGACAGCGTACCAAGTCTTTGGTGAGCCAGTGTGAAGATAATTCATACTGTGAAGCTCATGATCCTCAACGTGCCAGGCAAACCAGCTGAACAACATACCGATATAAACCATGGGAGATGTGACACCAGGGATGTCATCTGGCATGAAACGTGTAACAGAACCAGGTGAACGTGCAATCGTCTGAAGGTTCCACGAACTGTTGGAGAGCTTCCAGCCTGCAGTGCCTTCCATTTCATCAACAATATCCACGTTCTTCTGCTTGGACGAATCCTGAGATGATAAACTTGTAGAAGCAAGGGGTGCCTTTTCTACCTCAGGGGATGAGTTTTCACTGTTCTTACCTGATGGGTCATTGATTTCTGTCTTCCTCTGATAAAATCCCCTGCCCCTCCTCTTCCTCTGCCGGAAATGTCTGAAATGACCCTCTGGCTCACCGAAAGCAGAGCCAGGCACATCATTAGCATACTCTATATACATAGGTTTCTCTGAAGCCGCTTTCCAGAACAATGCCTCAATGACAACTGGTGACACTTCTTTAACCGTTCCTAATTGGCTTTTGTAGAAAGTTCTCGACTTAGTTTCAAACTGCTCCAATGTATATACGCCTCCACTTTGCCAAACCTGCTTAACACCACTCCTTTGAGAATTACTCTTACTCTTCTCTCCTTTCGTTTTTTTCACAGCCTGGCCTAATTCTTGCTGCCTAGTGGTGAATACAGCTCTATCCTCTTTACACACCTTGGAAAAGTCAACATCCGAAACCAACTCCGGACACTTCAAAAGAGACTTGTTCAAGTTATAGAAAACATACTTTTTCGATGGCTTGGGTAAAGGAGGAATGATCTTGCAAATCCCAAAAGCACTAGCTTCCTTCTCGATTTTCGATATATACGCAATGGGATCTGCAAATTCAGTGTCTGTAGGTCTAAACACAGGTGCCAATGGCAAAGCTTTAAGCCAATTCGGAATTTCAACATTACCCATCTCAATTCAAATTCCGTATGACTAAACAATTCAAACACCAAAATCAGATGTAACCCACCATGAACAAGATCAAGCAACAGAAACCTAGTGAAGAAACCCAGCACTCTAAAACCCTAGATTCGATAATTCCGATGCTGATTTCAAAGATATATTCTTCTTGGCGTCTTCAAATCGAGACCAATCAACAACACAATGAAATTGTAGGCACTGATACGATCAGAAAAAGCAGCGGAATCTCCATGAGGAGAAGAAGAAGAATAAAGAGAGGAGAGAAGAAACGATATCAACTGTGCGGTTGCGCAACGACGGAGAGACGGAGAAGAAGAGGCAAGAGAGAGAAAGTTGTGTAAAAAAATGTTAAATCTTGAAATTTCCTAATTTATTTTAACGTTTGCCGTTAGCGCATGTTAGCGTGAGATCACGCTAACATAAACCAGCGGTGCGGTGGTTCGTGGACCGGACTGACTCTTTCGGACCAGTACTGGACTATAAAAAGCCCACTACTGTATGGCCCTATTATATAACCAGTTTTTGAAAAGAAAAAAATAATAATTAATATAGGCATGGTCAGATATCATTAAAAAAAAAAAATAGTATTGGTGTATTAGGAGATTGTATTCCAAAAAAAAAGTTGCACCTTAAATTAGGAGTTTGAATCTCCATATACTGGAGAGTGACTAGCTAAAATTTACATGTTCTGATTTTTAGTATGAGAAGCTTACCATCGACCAAAGATTAAGAACTTTTTGGTAATTGTAAAACATAAAAATAAAAAGATCAAAGTTATGTTCAACAAGACTTACCAGTTACAAAACCGACCACAACCACACGACATAATCATAAAAGAAACAGGACACTAAAAGGGCAAGGCAAGACTTTGATCAAAGTCAGTGACTCAGTGTCATGAAAACTAAACATACACACCAAATATTCTCCACACGACATAATCATAAAAGAAGCAGGATATTGAAAAGGCAAGGCAAAGACTTTGATCTGAGTGAACATTTTAGCAGATAGGAATCGGAGCTCCGTTCCACTCTTTGAGACATTCGAACAGAGGATCTATGAGTTTTCCTTGAGAGATCGCCGTGAAGACTTTGTCGAAATCCTCTCCTGGTGACCGGACATTCTCTCCGGTTAGCATCCTAGTCTCGAGTTCGTCCCGCACAAACCGGTACAGCGGATACGATCGACACTTCTTGATTCGGTTAGCCACATTAGATGTACCGTTCTCGTATTCTGTCCTGACTCGTTCCACTTCTTTAGGGAGGAGAGATTTCAGCTCGGCTTCGAACGCTCCGATTTTTCGGAAAACCGTGTCTGTCTCGCCTTCCGGTTCAGCTAAAGCTTTATCGAAGAGGACGTGTCTCAGCTTCTGCATCAGAGGGTTAGTGAGGCTAGTTGGGTCATCAACATAGGAGAAGACGTATTCGCGGTTGACAACTCGGAGAATGTCGTCGTGTTCGCGGAATGGTTCGATAGCTAGAACGCTTTTGGCAGTCTGGCTCACAGCCTCCTTAACCGCTTTCTTGAGAATTTCTTCAAGGTGTCTCAGATCAAAGGCTTGGCACAAAGCTACCAAGTAAGTTGTTGACATGAGCTTGAGGATAACCACAGCTTCTGCTGTCTTTCGGCTCGAGATCAGCCCAAGAGAGTTAACATCTTGATTGTGTTGGGAAGCGCTTTCGACATGGTTCGTCACAGGATTAGCTAAGAACTGAAGCTCTGAGCAATAAGAAGCCATGGCTACTTCTGCGCCTTTTAATCCGTAATCAAGACTAAGGTTTCTCCCGCCAGATAGATTAGAGGGTAACCCGTTGTTGTAGTAATCATTTACGAGTTCAGTGAACTGAGCGAACATTAGCTTCCCGACCGAAGCAAGTGCTAGACGAGTGTTATCCATGGCGACACCAATCGGTGTCCCCTGGAAATTCCCACCGTGAATAGCTTTGTTCCTTGAAACATCGATCAAAGGGTTATCGTTTACCGAGTTTATCTCACGTTCGATCATCTTTGTCGCTGCTCTTATCACCTCAATCTGTGGTCCGAGCCATTGCGGCGACGTTCGCAGAGCGTAACTGTTAATTAAAACCCAAAATTGTTAGTCAATTTAATCATAAAGCAAACCAAAAGGGTTACTTAAGAAACAAGAAACTAGTTGCTTGAGACCCAAGAACATACCGATCTTGTTTAGGTTTCTGAAGCGGATCAATTTTGTGGAGATGTTGAGCTTCTTTGACATAGGAGCTTCCGTCTAAGATATGCTCCATGATTGCGGCGGCTTCTATCTGACCAGGATGGTGCTTGAGTTTATGCGTAAGATGATCCGTAAACTCCGGTTTCCCCTGCATAACCTCAGCAAACATGGCCGAAGCAACCTCCGAAAAAACCGCCAAAATGTTGGCATCATACAGTACGGTGGAGGCTAAAGCAGATCCCACCGCAGTCCCATTCACGAGCGCAAGCCCCTCCTTGGGCCGGAGTTCGAAAAAGGATGATACTCCGGCAAGCTTGAAGGCCTCCGAGGCGGTGAGGATCTCGCCGGACGGGCCCAAAGATCGTTAGTTGGGGCGCCCGATGAGAAATCCAGCGATATACGATAATGGAACGAGGTCGCCGGAGGCGGTAATGGTACCTCGGAGAGGGAGGAGCGGTGTGATTTTCCGGTTGAGGAATTTTGTGATGGCTTCGAGGATCTCAAAGCGTATACCAGAGTAGCCTTGGAGGAGGGTGTTTAGGCGGATGAGCATCGCCGCTCTTGTAGCCGGCCGGGGAAGCGTATTTGACGTGTCGTCATCTCCGTCGCCGGTAGCGAATATCCCGGCGTTCAAGTACCTGGTTTATATAATTTGATATAATATCCGTCAGTTTTAAACCAATTCTTAACACATCATCATTATTTATTTTTTGAATTACTTTTTGTCAACTATATAATAATGCATTTAAAAACTTTGACTGCACTTAAACAATTTTAATCGACACTGTTTGAACCTTTAACTATTACTGGTCGGAAATCTAAATCTTTATTCTTTCACTGGTCGGACTGACACATCTTCTCTAGTTCAACCCAAAAGACAAAAGAAAAAGAAAAAGCAACTTTGCCTCCACGCTCACATGTGCACTCCTTTTTTCATTTTCTTAGACGTTAAAGCTGATTTCAATAAAAGTATGAGACCAGTCCAGTGGAACAGAGAAAGCAGAAACGTTTATTTTTCATAAAACACACAAATTGTTTGCAAAAGATATTCAATGAAATGAAATGCTCGTCTTTAGTGATGCTGTTTTTAACTTCTTTCGGCAGAAAGTCGTATTTACTAAAAAAATGTGCAAAAATTAGAGCCTTAAGTCTTCATTTAACATATTAAAAAATTGAACTTTTATAGTACTAGGTGTAAAATGTCACATATTATAAATTCTTTATCTACCGGTGCTGGATATAAATATGTATTCTTTTAAAAAATTAGTTTATGTGCAGGTTTCTAAACCTAGTTTTCTATGATTCTATATTTATTTTCCGACAGAATAAACTAAAAAAATAATAATGATTCAACTATGAATATTAATTACCTAAGACCACCATTATCCATGGACTCTTAGCCAAATCTTAAGGTAAGATTTGTGAAGAAAAAGCTTAAATATAAACCTAAAAGCTCTTATATAAGAGTTCTTTCTTCACAAATCTTAGCTTAAGATTTGGCTAAGATTCATCTAAGAGCCCATGGATAAGGGTGCTCTAATAAGCTCTTTTTGAAGAGCAGCACCTTGGTCAGTTCTCCTACGAGAAGATGAACCAAATCCAGTGGTGATACCATAAGTGTCGGTACCACGATTCATGCTCTCCATCACCCACTCACTACTCGCCTTTACACCGGCACGAGCCTCCTCAGAAAGCTCCACTGTCGTTCCTCCACTCGCCACCCCCGCAACCTGACCGATGGTCAGCGTCTCTCCGCCGAGCTGCACCGTTTCTTTCCTATAATCCTTCACCATCTTCTTCACCTCCTCCAGGTGGCTCCCTTTTAAAGCCTCTGCTGCTACATTCCAGTTAAGTGGGTCGCTCAATGCTGTTGCGGTTGCGTTTGGTTGACAAAACTCCATGATATATCACAAAATCTGACGGCGACCCAAGTGACAAGTCTGGAGCTTTTAACGAGCTGGATTAAGAGATTGGGTTTTCTGGATAGTCACGAAGTATATATATATATACTCGACTCGAGTGGGACTTGGGCTGGTCTCAAGTAACGTTTTGTACGATGTTATATATATGTAGACAGTGTAAATAAAACATGTGTCAAAATAATCTGAGCGAGTGGGTTGGTTGGTGGGTATATATTAGAGGAAGAGCAATGGGGTTAATTAGTTGAAATGTTTAAGAACAACTTAGTGTAAGATTTAAAGTAATGCTAATAGGAATATTCGTATTTAGCCACAAAAAAAGGATAAACATTCATATCTTCTTCACTCGCATAATGTGACTGACAATTATTTTCTCTGCTAAATATTATTTAAAATACTTCAAGCATACGATTAGTTTCAACCGCTTAAACATGTTTTTTTTTGTCTTAACTTCTTTCTCGTATAATGTGTTTATATTTTCTTTTCTTTTTTCCTATATGACAAACACACTATCTCGTTGGAACTAGAAGTCTAAAATCGTTGCAGCCACAACAAAACACATGTTGTCTTTGCTAAACACTTCACAGTTTGTTAACTGGTAAAGTTTAATGGTAAGCTTTAAATCTAATGAAATGGAAGTATGAAAGACTAATCTTTGCTAGACACTCCACATGTTGTTTCCGGCAGAGGATAATGTTGTTGAAATAAATAAAGAATGATTTTTTTTTTTTGTTAAAGAATAAATAAAGAATGATGTGAAAAGTATACTAAAGATTTTGAACAAAGCAAAAGTATAATAATTGAATGACCAGATAAGTATACATAACTGCATAAATCATAATCAGGATATTGTTCTAGCGGCTCCTGCTCTCTTACACCTCTCACCATGTGGCGGACTCAAGTCTCTCAAAGTAAAGTTATGTTGAAAAAAGCATATATATAGCGGATAGGGTTCGTGAGGTCTTTGGTCAAATAGAGAGACTTTGATATTCGTTTACATTATTGTTGACAAAGTTTAGACGTTCGACCAAAAAATTTAAAATATTACACGATTGGCGTATGTGGAATGAAAATGACCCATGAATCAATTCAAGGGAAACACATTTTATTGAAATTTATAACGATTGAGATGTCAAACGTCTTCTCGTGATAGATTTGATTCCAATAAAATAAGTTTTGGATTTCTTTTCTTCGACGATTTCCCGTTTTTGCGAATTCTACTTCGTCAAGATAGAAGACTTAATTAAGTTTTTTAGCATTTTTTTCACTAATCTACGTTTGATTTGTCCATATGTGTACATCACTGACTGAGATATATTTTAGAAACTAGAAATTAACCCGCGGTACACCGCGGGCCTATACTTTTATTAAATAGATTTTTTGTATTTTTATTTTAAAGCTTTTCTTTTACATATATGATATTGTTTTTTTAATTTAAATGTATACATATACAAATATGTATATATCTATATATTGTAGGATTAGTCAATTTTCAGTTCATTTTTGAAAATATAGAGATAGAGCAAATTAAATAGTTCATTACGCACTAATGGATAATTTGCTGAAAATAAAAGTTTATTATCTTGTTAACATAATACATAAGTTTAGATTTTGTTTGTAAATTTTTATTCAGCAAATAAATATTAAAAATTATAGTATCTATATATGTCTTTTGTGCAAATAAAATTTAAGTGTTGAATGTGTGTATCCATTACAAATAAAATCGATATTGTATATGATTGTTGTTATGTAACAAAAAACAAAATGTGTATTTGGAATTTGACCCGCGGTATACAACGGGTTTATGTTTTTTTGTCATGTTTTATATAATTTACTTAAAAATATTATATTGGATAAAATATAAAATTTTAGATTTGTTTAGTTTTGTAGAATAATATAAAGATATTTATAATTTTATTTGATGTGATCATTTTCAGTCTAGGTTTATACCCGTAGATTAATACTTTTTTTATATATAGTATTTTGAATTAAAAATAACAGAAAAGTACCGTTTAAAATTCATTTAAAATATATAAATATAAATTGTGGATATTATTTCAATATGTTTTATGATTGTCATATTGTTAAACATTATATGGTCAAATCTGGCATTTCTTTACCGATTAGTAAGAGACTAATGTTCAATTAGAACTTTGATTAGTAAGAACTGATACCAAAAAGAGAAGGAGAATACAAAAACTTGGAAATTGTGGTTTATGATTATGTATATTTTTGATACTTCGAACATTAGCACTAAAAACCTTTTTATGTTTTGTCACAAATGGGACCCAAAATCAGTATGATGTAGTAGTAATTTATGTATCCTATTCCTAATAAATATTCTAAGTGAAGAGATGATATTAAAGTTAAGAAGATTCCTCCGAAGATCAATAATTGGCTGACGAAAAAAAAAATGAACAATATAAACAAAGATCAAGAAAATATATTTATTCCACAAACGTTTTTGGGGAATATATATAATGCGCCTAGTGTAAATATATTATTTACACAATTATAGAAAAGGACAGTACGTGTACCTTCTTCTTCTTTGCTTAACCAAGTTATCCATTTAACTTTCAATGCCACAACATGCTCACTGACGAATTCTACTCTATCGATTTTCCTCTTTTGGGTGCTATCTGCCATGTTTCTCCTGTCAATACAACTTAATCAAGTCAAAATCATACATTCATCAAAATCCTAATGAAACCCCAGAATTATACTATCAAACCAACGATTAGCAATCATCAAGCAAGCAATGCAATAATCAAAGGGATATACACCTAAAAGACCTAGATAATATGGAGAAACGGATAAAAACTTTGGCACCTATATAGAGAAAAGATCTCAAAAAGCATATATATAGATTCAGCCTTTAGGGCGAATTAAGAACCTTTTTCTAATTATTTTTTAGATTTAAAATTCTAATTTCGATATGTTGACATATAAGGAAATTAGATCCCCCATTATTAGGGACTATTCAAACTAATTACCGTAATTTGTGTGATAAATATTCTTCACAATAGGTACTATGTACTACTTAAAAAATTGCATATTACAATGGATATGTGTAAGTCGAAGATTTGATTCCGATATTACAATTATTGTTAGCATTTAATTTTAATATCGTTTTTTTTTTTTTTTGCAGAAATATCTTACCAAAAAGATTTGCGTAGCAAATATACTATGTACTTTAGGAATATGCTATGATTTCGGTTTGAAGAGTAGTAATTGTTTTATTTATAATTGATTATTCGAATATTTGAAGCAATGAATTATAGTAAATTGTAAATGAAATCTACTAAAATCACAACAAAATTAGATCTTAGGTAAGGAAACAACAATATTTAGTATTAATTAGTTGGGATTAGGTAGAATTGGAAACATTAAATTGAGAATATACACTCGAAAATATAGCAACATACTCGAGATTTAGTTAACTTAATATCTTTATTAAATTTTGCAAATTTAAATAATAAATGCTATGCCGATTAATATGTGGGAATAAGTTAAGGAAACAAAGTTAAATGGGTAATTAAAGAATTAATTTCGTTTTTATTACAAACTTCCTAAAATCTCTTATTCTAGATCCGAACAACTTAAAACCGGGTAAAACCCGGATCCAAAAGACTTTATGCAAAAATCCCCTGTAAAAATGTATATGTAGATATATGATGTTGTTTTTTTGGTTTTGTTAGAAACAAAATTTAAGATAAATATAATATTTGTCATTGTCCTATAATCAATGCATGCAGATAATAACACACGCTATGTGATTGAAGAGCATTGAAAGGCAGCGGCTTTCGGGTCGGGGTTTGGTTCTCATTTGCGATGTTGATTTCAAAACTAAAGCATTTTTTTAAATATAATTCCAAATAACAATAGAAAAAAAAGAAGAAGAGAACTATACACACTAAAAAAAAGTAAAACTATTTGGGATTTTCTTTAAGCAGGATAATAATAAAAGTCTTACCTTAAAAATAAAAGTTCAACTCTACTATTTAACCACTTACGGAATTACCTATTATGGTTAATTGTATTAAAATGCGTTATTTTATATAATTAAAAGTACACAGATTTTATCCCAAAAATGTATTTCACATTAATTTTAAAATTTTATTACTATTTAATTTCTACAAATCTATTATTTAAAAATTTGACTATATCAAAAACTTAAAAGGTAATATTCTAACTCATCCAATCAATTCGTGTATTTATTTGTTAGTTCCAATAGTAGTCCAACAAATTGTAGTTGGGACCATAAGGTAATTAATTATCGTGATCTTATTTATTTCCAAGAAAGCTAAAAATCCCAAGTTGATTAGGCCAACAAACAAAACACAGGCAATCCACACAACACAAGAAAAGGATAATAAAAATCACTTTCACGTCGGCTACGGAAATGACATCTCGTGATTTATTTCTCATCCTCTAGAAAAAAAAAAATAATAACAAATCGGAAAAACTTATTTTTGTCACATAAAAAGATTTTGGCGGTTGGAAACAGAACAGAAGGCTCTTCTTCTTCGTTACCGTTTTGGACCCGATTCCTCCTCCTTCGTGTTTCCATATATTACTGACTGACTTGTTCTCTCTTTTTTATTTTCTCGCTTTTTTTTTTTCTTTAAGATTTTCATCGAAAAAAACAAAACAAAACATGGGTTTCTTCACCAGTGTGTTGGGGATCATCGGTTTTGTAATCGGAATCCCTATCGGACTCATCCTTGGTTTCTTCGTCTTGGTTTATTCTCAGCCTACACATCAAGAGGTAACACAATCAACCACACTTTTCGCAATCTTTCGTTTTGATTCGTTCATCGTTCATGTTTGAGGCTTTGTTCTGTTTGTTTGAAGATGGTGAATCTGAGAGCCTAGTTTTGAATTAAAGCTTGTTACTTTTCATGTAGCTACCATCAAATTTTGAGGCTTTGGTTTACTGTTCATATAATTGCTGATTATCTACTTAGTTTATGAATCCGAGGGTTAATGATTTAACACATTGCAGTATCCACCTGCGAGGCCACTAGTTGAAACTAGCATCAGTGTTCTTCTTGATCTTTTACCAGAGATTCCATTGTGGATGAAGAATCCAGATTATGAAAGAGTAAGTCACATTTTTTAGGATTGTGTGTTCGGACTTTAGTATCTAAGCTCGGTTACTTGCTTGACTGATGGTGCTTTCTCTTGTTTACATTAAGGTGGACTGGTTTAACAAATTTATTTCCTACATGTGGCCTTACCTCGATAACGCTGTTTGCGGTATCATCCGGAATTCTGCACAACCTATATTTGCAGATTATATTGGGACCTTCTGTATAGAATCCATTGAGTTCGAAAATTTGAGTCTTGGACCGCTTCCACCGACAGTTCACGGCAAATCCTTGTCCCATTTAGCTCTTATGATCTCTTACCGTTGTTTTCAATGTGCTATTAATGGTTAAGGCGTAATCTCCTGCAGGTGTTAAGTTCTATGAGACCAATGAGAAGGAGCTTCTGTTTGAACCATCAATAAAATGGGCAGGCAATCCCAACATTGTTTTGGTGCTAAAGGTTCTCTCTTTACGAATTAGAGTTCAGGTCCGTAAGAGTGAAACTGTCAAAGAATTAAACACAAGCAATGAAAAGCTATACCACTCTTTAGTTCCATAAACACAAAGTTTTAGCATCTTCACTTCTGAATATTGAAATGTTTTACCGTTGCAGCTCGTAGATCTCCAGTTTTTTGCGATAGTGCGTGTAGCTCTGAAGCCTCTTCTGCCGACCTTCCCTTGTTTCGGAATGGTTGTAGTTTCATTAATGGAAAAGGTAGCTACTTCTCAGTATCTCACACAAGAGTGACTCAGAATAGATTTGAAAGTGGCCTGCTTTGCTAAACATGATTCGCTTTTTACAGCCACATGTTGATTTTGGATTGAAAGTGCTTGGTGGAGATCTCATGTCTATACCGGGTCTCTACAGATATGTTCAGGTGCTGCATTGATGATCCTCCTATCGGTAGGAGTTGGATTATGTTGTTTATCTAGTCAAATGAGATGCTCCTTCATCGGTATCCTTTCAGAGAACTTATTTTGATCTCATGATTTGCAGGAAACTATAAAAAGGCAAGTTTCAAGTATGTATCATTGGCCACAAGTGCTTGAGATACCTATTCTTGATGCTTCAACGTAAGTGTTGATCAATGTGACTAGAAATCATGAGGTCTTTCTGGTTCTTTCCTCTGATCTATAAGTTTACTTCTGATGTAGAGCGTCTGTAAAGAAGCCTGTTGGATTACTACATGTGAACATTATTCGAGCTCGTAATCTCCTCAAGAAGGATTTGCTGGGAACATCTGACCCTTATGTCAAGCTTAGCTTAACCGGAGAAAAGCTTCCAGCAAAGAAAACCACCATAAAGAAGAGGAACTTAAACCCGGAATGGAACGAACACTTTAAGCTCATCGTGAAGGACCCAAACTCACAAGTCCTTCAATTAGAAGTCTTTGACTGGGACAAGGTCCATGCATTTCATGATCCGGTTTCTTCTCTAGTTCAACATTTTATGCCATTCTTACTAAAGCTGTTCTGTATCGCTATAGGTCGGTGGGCACGACAGATTGGGAATGCAGATGATCCCCTTGCAAAAGATTAACCCGGGTGAGAAGAAGGCGTTTAATCTTGATCTGATCAAGAACTCAAATGTTGTGATGGATTCTGGGGACAAGAAAAAAAGAGGAAGACTAGAGTTGGATCTCAGGTATGTGCCATTCAGAGAAGAAAGCCTTAAGAGTAGAAATAAAAGTCAGGATGAGTACCAGAGAAAAGAAAGCAGAGAGGAGAAATCATCAGAGGACGACGATTTTCTCAGCCAAGCCGGTCTACTCTCGGTTGCAGTCCAATCTGCAAAAGATGTCGAGGGCAAGAAGAAACACTCGAACCCTTATGCTGTTGTTCTCTTCAGAGGAGAAAAGAAGAAAACAAAGGTAAATTCAACCTGCATTTTGCTTAGAAGCTACTTAAGAACTATTTGGGTCATGATGAGACTAAGCTCAAATACATCATGTCGTCTGAGTTCTTATGGCTACCTTTTCTTGATCAGATGCTGAGGAAAACACGAGACCCTCGATGGAACGAGGAATTCCAGTTTACAGTAGAGGAGCCTCCAGTGAAAGAGAGTATACGCGTTGAGGTCATGAGTAAAGGAACTGGCTTTCACTTTCGATCCAAGGTAAAGATCTCTTGCCTTGACCCGACCCTGATAAAAACTTGGTTAAGCTGGCTGTAAACCGGTTTTCGAGCAGACAGACCCATTTCAACTTATACCTTTGCTTGATCTCTATGTAGGAGGAACTAGGACATGTAGACATAAATCTGGACGATGTTGTTGACAATGGAAGGATCAACCAGAAATACCACCTTATCAATTCCAGAAACGGCATAATTCACATTGAGATCCGTTGGACAACTAGTTAACAAAACTGATAACAATTCTTGCAAGAAGTTTTGTTCTAGTGGGGCCTTTGTAAAATCTTGCCTGCTCTTGATCAAAATCATTTTATTTCAATTAAAATTCGAAGTACATATTAAATGAGTGGTAAAATGTTTCATCCAAAGACAGGAAAAAGCAGAAAAGAGACTTAAGGGGTTTGGAGATTCTTGAGATCTTCTTCCCCTTTGGCGTACCAAGCTGGTATGATCTCAGGAAGGTGAGGATACAGATCCTTTTATGAGTTCCTTATTGTGCCTTCTGCAACTCCGGTTGCTACTTATATATCTGCAGGCTCAATTTCACAGTTAGAAAGAGTATTTTCTTGTTTTGTGAAACACAATGCGCATGAAACTGACCTCGAAGTAGTTTCTTGTCATCGGAAAGCTGTGTTATGATGTAGATAACAGCTGCTGCAATTGATATGGGACTCCTCCTGCAGAAGTTTACAGCGAGTGTAATGCATAAACCTCACCGCGGTAGATTCAGAAAATAAGAACAATAGGGTTCAAAGAGACAGACATAGTTATGATCTACTCACCTAATATCAAACTCCTCTGACTTGAGCACAGATTCTTGAGCTGCTTTCACGGTTTGGTTGTACTTGCTCATGCCAAGAGTGGAGCAAAACCGCTCTGAACAGTTGGAATCAATGTCACTTGATTAAGGAGAAACAAGAAAATGATGATATGTATTTTGAAAAACTCGCCATAAAGTCACCAGCGTGTATAGTCCACATTTCTACTGACTGTCCTGTTTCCAACCCCAACTGTTTGACTATGTGATCTTTTGCACGGCCAATCTCTTTCTTTGTGGCTCCATTGGCAACAGAACATATTTCTATACCAAATCGAGAGTATCAGAGGCACACGATGCCATCGAAGAGGGTAATGATGGATGCTTAAGAATATAGTTGTATGTGTACCCTTCACAGTTCGTGGCTTGTCCTCTAACCAAGAAAACGAGTATCCCAAAGTAACATGTCAAAGAAAGAAACATATCTTTTATGCCTACCAACGAGAATTGTTTCAATCCATGAGAAAGATAGCATTTGGAGAAAAAAGTTGCAAGCTTTCATTTTTCCAGATAGTGAAAAGCTTAAATTCTCACACTTGTCGATTACAAAACAAAAGTTGTGATTTTGAGGCAACAATGTCAGCTCAAAAACAGAATTGAGCTGCGAATTAGAGCCGTTACCCAAAACCAGATTTTGAAAATCTTCTAAGAAAAGGGCTTAGAAATTAGAACAATACCTATCAGCCATCAGGGTTAGATCCACGATTCTGCCAACGACCAAGAGAAGGGAAAAGAAAGTCGCCGGAAGAGCCATTAGGCTTAGAAATGACAGTGGTGAGACCACCATCAGCGAGAAGAGGACCAACACGAACGGGATCATTGCCACCAGACTCATTTAGCGAAAGTTCTCCACTCAGAGGTCTCATCAATGGAGTGAGACTCGAGCACAAGTCCACACTCAGAACATACTGTGTCTCCTGCTGAGTGATCAAACACCACCTCCGTGTGTCTCTTACAGTCTGAACAATACACGTCCCTCATTGCTTCCGAGATTAATCGGACAAAGAATTCGACTTTAATTACGGAGAATACCATTCTTCTCTTCTTCTTCTACAGCTTCAAGTTTTAGAGTTTTCTTCGTCGTTGAGGAAAATGCGAATCGGGTAAATATCGACCGCTACGTGTCATTAATTGATTCGCCTAATTACTTAATGGACACTGGGCTTCAAAAATAATTTTCCAGCCCACCAGTTTTCTTAAGTTTATTTATTATCATAACGAATTTTTAATATTTCTCATTAAGCTGCACAAACCAAGCCTAGACTCTATTATTCTTGTCATGCTTATTCTTCAACTTCTTCGCGTCATGATTCACAGTAATAACATCGACGCGGTTCATCTGAAGTTGAAACGCCGGAACAATCTTGCTTCCACAGCTACAATAACTTCCCGACCAGTCAAAGCTTCCAACTTTAGCTTGACATTTTGGACACGATAACTTCCCTTCCGACACATCATTTTCCATAGCTGACATAACAAGAGAGATGATTAAGACCAATCAAGAAACCAACACAGATCTACAACGCATGTGATTAAGAGTATATATATATAGTACCTGAATTCATCCAACTGAGAGGCTCTACGAATATAGAAGTACACTGGTTCTGATGATCACCAGGATTCTTGTGAACCTCTCCTATCATGTTTTTGAACATGTCGTCAAACTCTGAATCAGCTTCACCTGGAGTGTGATCAATGACTTGCTCCTGAAATAACAAAACTCTCTTGCATTTCTTGCACTCGTATGTACTACTACGGCTACTCCTCTCATTCGAAATTCCCGGATCAGCCCTCAACTTTAATCTGTCAAATTTCTTATCCTTGCTATATAAGTAACCTGGTATAGCAAGAAAAAGCAATCCCATTGTATCAGACCCATGATCAAATGTTAACGCCTAAATAAACACTTATTACGGTGAAAAGAAATCAAAACCTAAAGCTTTTAGACGAAAATACTTGTAAATAGGGCTGGAACGGTCGACTTTGAAGTTCATTCTCTCAAACAAATCCAGCTGCAAGATGTGAAAACGTTAATAAAGTAAACTTAAACTATAATATCACAAAATCTAGTCTTTACCTGTTTTAAGAAGCCAGGATTGGGACTAGCTTGAGCGCGTTGTCTCAACGATACCAAAGCTTCTGTGAAAACAAAACAAATACACGCCAATTTAAGGGAATATATCATCAGAGATGTCATTCTTATAGGTTAAAAATAAAATCATAATATGATCGATCATACCTTCACTGGAAAGCTTTTCAGTCCTCTCTATAGAAGCACTGAAACAAAACCGCCAATAGTTATAGTCAAGAGACAGCCTCTCTATAGGTCCTCATCTCCATGGAACAAACAATCAAACTTAATTAACGTACATAAAACAATAAAAGAGTAGAAAAACCTCATACCTCCGAGATTGTCCAGCAAAGCAATGAACTAAAACGCCTTTCTCTTTGCGGCCAGCATCGATAAAATCCAAACAAATATCGATAAGATCAAGCAGATTCTCCCATTCTTGATCGTAAGCAAAGACAACCATTCTTGTAAACTTGAGATCTTTCCCAGTATGTTCAAGCGAATACAGAAGATTGCCTGATGGCAACGCGCTCTCTGTCGCAAACTCTTTGCCTTGTAATGAGTCTTGATCATCACCAACAGCAACATACACTTCCTTGATTTCTTTTGAGTCTAGTTTCACGTTGCGCCATTCCTCGAAGACGGATATGGAAGGGCAGTGCAAAACTGTAAGAACGTGTGAAATCTCAGAGCTACCATTCTTGAGAATCTCAGCGGCAGCGCAAATATCACCGAGGTATAGATTCTCCCTAACTAGGTCAAACTTCTGCATCCTCGAGAAGAAAAACCCTTGACAAGTTAAACAAAAAACGAAGAAGAGAGATGTTTTTAACAACGTAACAGATTGCTATAACTGCTCTGTAATCTCAAATCAACTTTTTCCACGTCACTGACAACTTCTTCTGTAGATCGAATTGGTAGCAACACCAAAAATACAAAACCGATTTTAAATTGCTGGAGATTTACACCTTTATTTTTTTGTCTGAAAATCTCTTTCGTCTTTCCCTTCTCGCCGATTTGTTTGATGAACAATGATAAAACGTACAACCAGAAAATCCTAATAAAAAAAATCGAAGAAGGGCTTTTGAAAAAAAGAGGTTTTGGGCAAGTTATATATTTGTCTGGTAAAAATTAGGATTTAAAAAAGCTTAAAAATCTTTTGTCGCACCAAAACGGAAAAAAAAATAAAAAATTATAGGGTTTTTGGCGAGACAGAGAAAAAGGAAAAAGAGGAGATTTTCGATCGAGTCAAGTGGTCCGTTTTAAGATATACACTATATGATTGAAGTGTCCGTTTTGTAATATATTTCTTAAAAAATATTATTTTATAACAAATTTATAAAGGAGGGACACAAATCCAAAATCGACTTTGTTAGCCCTAGACAAAGAAGCGTCTCATTCATTCACCATTGGCCTCCGAGATTGACACCCGAGTAAAAATGTCAAGAAAGGAAGGGGACAAGAAGAGAATAATGGATCAGAGCGATCATTTTTGCAAACGCTATAGGGTGATTGATCTCCTCCCTTCCTCAATCTCGTTTTCGGATCTCATCTCATCTCGTAATTCTTCGTCGTCTAGGTTTAGGATCTTAGGTTGTTTATCAAGTTCGTCACATCTTTTAGGCGTTTGGATCCGATTTCGTCAAACTCGTCTAGTTGCTGATTGATTGCTTTGTATCTACGTGGTCTGGTGATATATTGATTGTTTTTCTTCAATGTAGTTTTTTATGGCCCAATTTAAGGATAAAAGAAAGAAACAAGACTTCATACCAATTTGTCCTCTCTTCGACGCTGGTCGCCAGTGTACAAGAGGTGCCAGGTGTCGATACCGCCATGAGATTAACAGACTCACAAATTCTCATGGTCGTTCTGGGTAAGCTATTCCATATACATATATATGTATATTCTCTGAGTCTTTGTTTGTGTGATTTATGAATTTCTTCCACAGGTTAGAATCCCCGTTTACAGTCGAGGTTATTGCAAGAGAGGGTAACAGGGGCCCTTTGCCACCACCAGAGGATCAAAGTGTTAAAACGCTTTATATCCGTAGACTTAACTCCAGTGTCCTCGAGCAGGACATCCGAGACCATTTCTGCCCCTATGGTGAAATCGAATCTATCGTAATCTTCCCCCACCGAGGAGGCACCTGTGCGTTTCTCACTTACTCTACCCGACTAGCAGCTGAGAAGGCCATGCTTGAGCTCTCCTCTTGGACTGACATCAACGGTCAGAGGCTTAAACTCTTGTGGGGACCTCCTGAAGAATGGCAGCACAAGATGACTGGTGCTGCCATTTCTTCAACCCAAGAGGTTGGTGGTTCTAGCTCCAATACTGCTCATGACTTGGTAACAACATTAGGATATTCTCTAGAAAATCTTTAATTAAACCTTTTCTGTAACATTAAAAAGACAAAAATAATAACTGAACATAGTATTTAGGTACTTTATTATGAGAGCCTGATTGATAATCAACAACGTTTTATTAGTCTTTTTTCCTTTTAGAGTACACCACAAAGAATAGAAAATACACATTCCAGTTATCAATTTACAACAACCCCAAACGCAAACGTGATAAAACAAATAAAAGAAAACAACAACAAAGATTCAATATTCATTAACTAAAATCCAATTCAAGGTTGAGACAGGAACGTTGCGTCCGCGTTCTGGTCGCTGCAGTAGAGACAAGGGTGTTGATGAAACCCTAGTCTCTCAAGCACATCCCTTGCCATCATTACTAGTTGCTTGTTCTTCACGGAACCTTCATTTTCTTTCAACACCCTCTGAATCGCGTTGCTAAACGCTCCGTACGCTTTCCCATTGCCAACTCCAACGTCAGCAGACGTCTCATCTGCCTGACATCCGCTCAGCAATATCCCTGAATCCACGTGTCTTTCACGGGCCGTCATAGTCTCCAAAAGATCCATGAGATCCATCGCAGATAACCGGAATTTAAGGCCAGCATCGCCGCCAAAGAGCTCAAGTAGGTGTGTGCCGATGTCGGAAGTTGTAATTCCGGTGAGAGAACTCAAGTGGTCAAGAACTGCCTTGAAGGGTAAGGCACGTGAAGTTATTGTCTTATTCGTTGTCTCCATGTCCGGAGATATGTTGCTGGAGACTGAAAAGGGTCCGATCTGTTCTTTCTCCTTGTCGATGAGACCACCACTATGGCAAGAATCAGAGATCATGGTAAAGTTTGTTCCTTTAGGAAGTTGATTGACCAATTCTCTGAAATCAACATCTGTGATGAGATTGAAATCACAAGGAACAATAGCTTCGTCTTGCTTAAAAGGATGAGCAGATTTAACCGAAGGAATACGAGTTCCATGGCCACTGTAGTGGAAGAACAAGATGTCTCCAGATCCGGCTTGAGCTTTATCTACCATCCTACGTAGAGCAGCCTTGATGTTGGCACCTGTCGGCTTTACCTTTGATTCTGGCTCGTCCGTTAGCACCTCAATGTCGTCTTCTTTGAATCCGAAACGGGACAAAATAGTTTCTTTCATGGCTAAAACATCATTGATGCAACCGTGAAGCTCGTTCCTTGTGTTAGGGTAGTTGCACCCGACGAGAACGGCTAGTCTTTTCTTGACCATCCCTTGTTGATCCTTTGTGTTCATTTGATTTCTTAAGGTTTTAGAGGGGAATTTCAACCAACTTTATAGGCAAAATGTTTTGGGGTTTCTTATTTGTGTTTAGTTTTTCATGTGCAGTGTTGTGGTTTTGGAGCTAATGTATATTTATGATTGAGGTAACTTGTAGTGAGGGTCAAGTTAACATACATACTAGATTAATATATATATTTTCAATTCTAGTTTGCTTTTAAGCTATGGAACGTTTTTTAATGGCGTACTCTTGACTTTAATATTATTGCTTTCAAGCAAGAAACTATACCTTAAATTAGACTTTTGAGATAGACATAATTAAATTCGAAGTCATGGACTCATGGTCCCACCAGAAGTTGGATGGTGTTTAAAGTTGTAACCCTCATGCTTGAAGTTTAAATATTATAATTAATGATTAATTTGGTTAACTTGGATATATACATAACTTCAAAAGGGAAGTCATTTAGACCTAATCCATCTAGCTATCTAAGGTAAGAGACGAGCAATATTTTATATTCTATGATATACGAAGAATGTATATAACGTATACATTGTTGAAAAATAATGTCAATTGACCAAACTAAATAACTTGTCTTAATCCCAAAAGACCGTCTATCTACCATAACGACTTCGTGCACGCAACGGCAAAGTCTTTTTGAGACGAACCATTTATGATATTAGCACCATCTTCACTGCACCAACGAGCCTAACTCATGACTTCATTATTTATAAGTTATATCCCCAAAAAAGCAATCAAACTTTCAATAGTAAACCCTTTACCAAAATAAAAAGCATTCAACTTAAAATATAAATGGCTGCATCAAATGATATACATTTTTTTTTTTTGGTGATTATAAGTTTTTGGGACCCACGGCTGGGTTATGTTTTTGACAAATAAACAACCATGAATAAGAAACCTATACTACAGTCTGTTTAATGCATAAAGTTGTTTGTATTCCTATGCATGCATTTATTATCCCTTGGGTAACGGCTTGGAATCATCTCCCAACTTCGTGATAGATTGAGGAATTGGGGCATGAATATTCTTGAAACTTTTGTCTCCTCTGCAATGCTGCACCTGAATCAAAGAACCACTTGTTTTCTGAATATACCTACATCAAAGACATATGGGGCCTCTTCTTTGCTTAATCCATCCCGCCTACAATCTTTGAAGATATGCTGCCATGGGACCTCAAAGAAGTAGTGAATGAGGTTTCACAAGAAAGAAATCGTATAACCAAGAGTTTGTGGTCCATTGGTTTGTTCGAGTGGATAAAAGATTCACTACGTGGGTCAAGGCCTCTAGTCTAGTTTTTTTACTGTAGACGCCTTAGATACATATGTACTCAGCTTCATACAGATATTGAGGATTAGTTTGGCTTTCGGTCCGGGATTTACCCCGGTTATATTAAAAACCCGTGAACAAGCTGATAAATTAGCGTCTCATTATACAGGACACATTGATTTTTTTTTACCTCACAAACCACAATCTTCATTACACAAGTTATATTAACCAAAAAAAAAAAAACAGAGCAATTTTACACGAGAAGCACCCAAAACACCAAGATAATGGAGTAAACCAGATATAAACCAAGAACTAAGATTTGGTATCCATCATTGCCTTGGTCTACTCGCCACGCTTAGTTTAGAATTGCCATTGCTGCACAACACCTTTCCCACGACGTCGTTTTGAACGTCACTAACCATAACCGCCTTCTCACAATGACAGTTCAACAAACCGGTTCTCCTCTTATCGTAACCACTAAACGCCGTCGACGAGGACGACAAGGCGATTCTTGAGAAGTTAGCTGCAACCGCGGAGGCCGGTTCGGCGGTCATGACGCTCCAAGTAACACTTGCTTCGCTTGGCTCGTAACCGTACTCAGACACGGTCTCGTCCATCGAGACCCGTACTGGTGGTGCCCATGGACGAGCTGCTGGTTGAGTAGAGAAGCTCTCTATCTCAAAAAGATCGGAGCTAGCGTCGCTCGTGGCTTCTTCGTCTATGATGACTCCCTTGGGACTCGTAGGATTCAGAACCGGTTTAATCGGATGCTGAACCGGTTCAATGCGAACCGGTTTAATCTGATTCAAAACCGGATTCTTGGGATTTTCTGATGATTGTGAAGTTTCGTTTAGAGTTGGGAAGCTAAAATTAGTAACTGGAGCTCTTGCTTCTCTGTTTGCAGCGTAGTCGATGGACCGAGTCACAGTGTTTGAAGGGATCGTTAATCTTATTGGCTCTGGCGAAGATATAGTCTGATGACTATGAACGATTCGGTTCGACACGACTCTGTCAGAACCGGTTTTGGGCACTGCGATTCTTGGTTTGGATTCTTGGACCTGAACAGACTTAGAGCTAGAACAGGGACAAGTCCTGCGTCTAAAAAACCATCTGGGTCCTTTCTTGCTGCTTTTACGACCATCTCGGTCCGATCCTTGGCGGTTTTTGTTAGAGAGCAAACCGGTTTGGCTGTTCCAGCTAGCTTCAGAAGATGCCGTTTGTCCCACGGTAAAAGAAGACACTTTTGCAGATGAAACCGAAGAGAATCTTGGACCACTTAGATTCCTCGTCTGGCATCCATCGTTGCTTCCATTTTCGCTAAAGTAACTGCGAGCTTCGAAGATGCTTAGCTCAGTATCTTCATTCTCCTTTTGTTGTTGTCCGTTGTTGTCTGGCTTGAGGTATGATGAGAAGGAGACATCGATATCGTTTGATCGATTCTGAAGTATCTTGATGTAAGGATCAAGAGCATCGCGTTTGGTCGCGACTACAGTGACTGTAGTTTGCGCCATTGAAGTATCTTTTGGTTCTTTTGTTTTCTAGAAGTTGAAAAACAGAGTTGCAAGTTAGTTCAGTGCTCTGCCTCAAGTCTCTCTCTTTGTGTATATATATACTTGAGACTTGAGAGATGTGTCATGAGTTAGTTATGTCTGACAAAGTTATATCTACCTCGTTTAGATGTCATCAATACATTCTTACATGTAAAAAATTTAGGCCTAGGCAGGTTTCCTTAATGTATTAAATCTTAAATGTCCTTACAGAATTTAATTTTTTTTTATAGAAAAAGTTTGATTTTGTGGAACCCAACTATTACATTAAAATTCATACAATAAATTTTCAGTCATCATCAACAAATAATGGAATTGATTAGGATTTAAGATTTTTGGTTTTTCTTCATATACTTTTCCATAAATCCAAGATTTTGGTGATTTGGTCTATAGTCTCTTTATCCAGAGCCAATTAAGGTTTAGTATATCACTTGGAAGTTCGAATTTTGGTCCTTAATTAAGATTGAAAAAAAAAATCATCTCTAAGATTTGATTAGAACAAATTAAAGTTGGTGTTCTAGCTTCGATAATGATACTATTCTTTTTTTTTCTTTCAAGGTTTATACTATTTCAAAAGCTAATAAACTTTACAGAAGAATCTTGACTTGTATGATTTACATTTTGTGGATACGCCAAAATTATTATCAAAGAGTTGCTCATGTTTACACTACAAAATCAAAATTTCATAATTATGAAAAGAAATTTGAGTTGTATCTATCAAAAAAATCCACATCAATTAAAAAAACCCGACCCAAAATAGACTAACCAGTATCCAAGTCGTAATCTCAAAGATGAAAAGAAACATTAAGTTTTGTTGCACCCTATCCTCAAATCTAGAAACGTGATGGTTTCCCTAGGCCATAGTCGCACCATGTGGCTTCTCCATTATTATGTTCTTCGATACGATGCTTTTAAGCAAGAAGACAAAGATAACTCAAAAGAAGGTGACAAATCTTAATAGTGATTACTTCCTATTCGACAAGAGACAGATCAAAAGAGAGGATAAGAATTATCATTGTAATAATATTGGGTCCATTTTTGTTACAATGCATGCTATTTTGACATTTAACGGACAAATGCTCCGAACATGATTAGGGTTCATAGGCTGTCAATTGTGTAGTGTTTTCTACTTTAACTTCATCATTTTCAATGTAAAACTTATTTGGTATAGACTATAGAGCAACGAGTTGATTGTGTCAAATACTTGGTGTCTCATAACCATTTAACGGATTTATTAGTCTATCACACTCATATTATAACTCTTGGTGCCTATTCTGTCTTAGCAGTCTACTAGGGTTATAGGTAGATATAATTTGTATAGTACCCTAGATTGACATAAGTTCGTTGACAAAAAAGTGACATAAATTCAAAGATTGTCCATAAGTTGGTGTCTCACAAATTCTAGAACTTTACTATTCGAAGCTTTTCTAAAAGACTAAAAGAGAATTGTTTTCTCTCTCTTGACTATAAGTAAAGAAATTAATCCGTAATCAAATTTTTAAAAATGGAGTGCGAGTTTGACTTAAATTAGACCTCATTAGCTCAATAATAGGCCTATTCACAGAGGAAATAGAGTCCTAATTCAATTTAACCATGAAAATCTTTCTTTGATAGACTATCACATATCAAAATAGAAGCTGATTTCAATAACAAAAATTTCAACCCTAGATTTTTATTGATGTTTTTAGACAGCCTCCCAAATTTGCCTAAATTAAATTTCTATATAAGAAGACATCATAAAAAGAGAAGGAAGAATATCTCATACATTTATCCTGAGAGAAGAAGAAAAAAAAAGGAAAAAACAAAAGATGAACACCATTATCCTTTTTGTAACATTTCTTGCTCTTTCTTCTTCATCTCTAGCCGGTAAAATCTCAATTCTTTTATATTTTTCTCATCTTGAACATCACATATGACTGTTACCATTGTGATTCCTAGGAATTGATAGGAACAAGATAGAACTATAGCGATCCGGTTCCTATTGAATGGATGATTTTAAACTGTATAATAAGTTCACAGTCCATCCTATATATGATGCAATAGTCGTGTTAATCTTTGGAACGTAATGTATGATTTAATTAATGCAAAACTCTGAGAAGTATTTTGACTCTTGTTCTCCTGGTCTTTTGCAGATGAGACAGAGACTGAATTTCATTACAAACCCGGTGAGATAGCCGATCCCTCGAAATGGAGCGGTATCAAGGCTGAATGGAAAATTTGCGGGACAGGGAAGAGGCAATCGCCAATCAATCTTACTCCACAAATAGCTCGCATTGTTCACAATTCTACGGAGATTCTTCAGACATATTACAAACCCGTAGAGGCTATACTTAAGAACCGTGGATTCGACATGAAGGTAATTGTTCGAACGAAAATATAAAACCTAAGATATTTTGTTTTACCAATTAGTCCGTAAGACTGATATGTTGCATGCACATCAGGTTAAGTGGGAAGACGATGCAGGGAAGATCGTGATCAATGATACCGACTACAAATTGGTTCAAAGCCACTGGCACGCACCTTCAGAGCATTTTCTCAATGGACAGAGGTAAGGGAAAACAAAACAAAAGATTGGCATCAATTTCTGATATATAGTAGGAGCTAATATATATCAAACCTGAATTTGGTTTTAGATTGGCCATGGAACTTCACATGGTACACAAAAGTGCAGAAGGGCACTTAGCAGTTATCGGAGTTCTCTTCAAAGAAGGTGCACCAAATGCCTTCATTTCACGGGTAATTTTTACCGCGATTGTATATAGGTTTCTGTTATATCCTTTTCTGGAAACTCTCTGCTGATTGTCTACTTACAATTTCGATAGATAATGGACAAGATCAACAAGATCGCAGACGTACAAGATGGAGAGATCAGCATCGGAAAGATAGATCCAAGAGAGTTTGGATGGGATCTTACTAAATTTTATGAATACAGAGGATCGCTCACAACTCCTCCTTGCACGGAAGATGTCATGTGGACCATCATCAACAAGGTAATTAACAATTCTAGCAAACCTTAAGCCAAATTGTAATTGAATTCAAGAATCCTGTATCTATAAAATCCCGACTCAAATTTGATTGCCTATTCAAAAATGCAGGTGGGGACTGTTTCGCGTGAGCAAATTGATGTATTGACCGATGCTCGTCGCGGTGTAAGAACTATACACTCTCACATAAACACTTACTAAGAACACATTTGAATATCTGTTTTTTTAATCAAACATATTTTGTTAATAACTAGGGTTATGAGAAGAACGCAAGACCGGCTCAACCGTTGAACGGACGTCTGGTTTATTTAAATGAGCAGTCCAGTCCAAGCCCACGACTACAAATTCCACGAGTTGGTCCAGTCTAAGACAGTCTTATAGGACAAGGCAACTCCGAGCCCTAATTTCCATACAAAGAAAATTCGAAAAAGAATTTTGAAGATGTATGTAAATTGGGGGCCATAACTAATTTTTTTAATTTTTTTAATTAAAAGTTAAACTATGCAATATTATATGAATAAAGTTTTCTTTTATACATGTATTCCAATAAAAAATATGTAATATCCAACCATAATGAGTTGTTTGATTATTTTATAAAACAAGATCTATACATTTCACATTTTTTATAAACTCTTGAGTTCAACTTAACCGGAAAAGCTTCTTGTAGTTCCATTGACAATAGCATTCACACAACGAAGAACAAACAAAAAAAACTGAAGATTTGCAAACGGGTTACCGTTAAAAACTTATGCGATGAGGAAGGGGAGGACGGTGAGCATGAAGCTTTCGTAGTTGAAAGTAGCTGAGCCTGAGTAGGCTGTGTCCTTCTCCTTGAACTTCTCTGTCAGCCCCTGCAGTTTCCATCATATTACAAATCAGATTACTAACTTCTAAATACCACACTCGGATCACCAAACCACATTGTAACAAGAACCGTTGCAGTCTCAGATGCAATCAGTAGTGAGGGTAAACTCATTTCTGTTCTGACCCCTAAACCTCACCACATTTGACAAAACTAACAAAGTTAGCATAATGGAGACTATAGAGTTCGTTATTAGGGTTGAGAGACACGTTTGAGTTTAACTCTTCCCAGGAGTAATCCCTCTAACTATTAAGATTTCAGTCTCATTTGACCTAGGCGCACTTATCTAGAAGCTGTATGAGAGGGAAACAGAGTAAATAAGAGCGTACCTTAACAGTGAGACAGCACCTGCATCAAGGCAAAACAGATACCGTTAATAAATAAGCAACGATCACAGCAAGAAGAAGAAAAGAGAGCACGGAAAGAAAAACGTACTCAATGAAATTGTCATATTCGATGGCCCTGTTCTTGCCTCCGCTTTTGTCAAACTTGGAAACCAGCAGATCCAAAATCACAGGAGAAACCGAAAACCCAAGGCTCAAAAGCGCATCTCTCAGCTCATTCACATCTATTCTGCCACTCCTGTCCTTATCAGACCTCTCAAAAATGGACTGCACCATTCCCAAAATAAACCACTTGAGTGAACTTCCAAACAATCTTGCTATGCTATAACACTAGCAGAAACCCAATAGATTCATGCAACCATTCAGAAAAATTTAAACTTACCCTCCAGTTCTGAAGACTGTAGAAAAGTGCAGTAAACTCCTTAGGTCCTGCAACATGGAGTGGACACATCTCAAGTTAGTACAGAATACCAATTCAAAACGAGGCTAACAAGAGAGATGAATGTAACTAGAATGATTATTATAGATTCAACTAGGACTAAAATAATGAAAACAAGTTCAAGAGATTCAACAAGATGTTAGAGAGACAGTGGGGTACTCTTTTGCACGTAATTCGACAAATATTGTTAATTTAGCCAACATGGTAATAGAAAAACCCTGACATATGACTCAAAGTATGAATCTTTTGAGTTTCGCATCTTAGACAGATGATGAAACGCAGAGATAAACATAATAACGATGCTGAACAAGAGATGGAATAACAACAGAAACTAACAATCCTGGACAATTCAAAGAATCCAGAAAGCTCACCGATTTTCATGGCATTGCTATTGGTGAATAGATACATAAGAAGATGAACAGTTCTCATACTGAATCTCTGTTGATAAGAAGAGAGAGCTCCTTGAAGCTCCTTATCATCAATAAAGCCACTACCATCTTGATCTGCAGCCTGAAAGCAAGCCACTATATTCGGATCCGTTCCCGGAGCAAAACCTGACGGAATCAGAGAAGCAAAAGGACTTCCATATGATGCTTGCGGAGGATAACCTCCGTATCCGCCACCGTGACCAGAAGACGCTGGACGAGGCGGAGCACCACCGTAACTTCCATATTCAGAAATCCCAGGCGATGGAGTAGCTCCGTATCCTCCACCGTACCCAGACGGCGGCGACGGACGAGGTCCAGCACCGTAACTCCCGTAATCAGAAGGTCCAGACGGTGGTGGAGCTCCGTAATCGCCGGAAGCTCCGTAGCCTCCGTAAGGTTTCTCCTTTGGCGGCTTGTTGTAGTCTCCTGGAGAAGGCGCGTAAGGAGCTGAAGGAGGCGGTGCTCCGTATGATGAAGATTGAGGCTTTGAAGATCCGTACGGCGGCGTGGGAGAGGATGACGGTGGTTTAGGTCCGCCGTAGGGTACAGCGTAAGGAGAAGAGGTTGATGATCCGTAAGGAGGATTGTTACCGCCGGAGGAGTAAGGTGGTTGAGGTGGTGGAGGTTGATTTCCGCCGCCGTAACCGTAACCGTAACCTTGGCTCGTCGGAGGATAACCTGACATCGATGAAACGTTTATACAATTAAGAAGAAAAAAAACGAAACTTTGAGAAGAGATCAGAAATAAAGGATCTTAAAGTTTTGAGATTTATGTCGAAACGAAAAATAAAAATCAAAGCTTTGAATGTGATTTTTAGTTGACCTCAAACTGTGTCAGATAGATAAGGACACTCTTAGGAAATTTGTCTCTGATTTCAAACTATTTACAATAATGCCATTGGAAGTAGATCTAACCGACACTAAAATTAGCGGGTGTTTTGGACTTCGGTTTAAGAAACTGAACTGACTCTTAATTTGAAATGGTTTGATATTGCATTAGTTCGTTGATTTGTGTTTTTTTCTTTTCTTTTCCAAATTGAACCTTTTTTTTTTTTTTTTTTTTAACTTTCTAATTTAATGATTTAATGAACTATCTAATTTCCAAATAGTTATAAACTTTGGAATGATGTGAGCCGAATTTTTCGCTTGTTGAAATTATCATATTTCATAGTTTAACAATGCAAATATTGATTTGAAATCATCGTCGATATTTAGGCAACGATTTGATATTATCTTACATAGATCTTAATTTAATTAAGAAACAAATTATACGTTAAAGAAATAATAAAACAAGGGTTACACACATTAATTAATCTAAAAGCAAAAAGCTTAACCTTTTATTGTTCATCTAAAAGCTTTTTGTCCTTGCCGTTCCATGCTCCAAGTAAGGACCTGATTTCTCTCGTTTTCTCTTTCTCTCTCTCTCGTTCTCTCAACGAAATCTCGATCTCGTCGAGGAAGAAGAAGAAGAAGCCAGATCAGAATCACAACAATGTCGTCGTCTTCAAAGAAACAAACTTTATTCATATCGACACTAATCATCTCATGGTACTCTTCAAACATCGGTGTTCTTCTCCTCAACAAGTTTCTCCTCTCAAATTACGGATTCAAATTCCCGATTTTCCTCACAATGTGTCACATGTCCGCTTGCGCTATCCTTAGCTATATCTCCATCGTCTTCCTCAAGCTTGTTCCTCTCCAACATCTCAAATCTCGTTCCCAATTCCTTAAGGTTGCTACTCTCAGCATCGTCTTTTGTGCTTCCGTCGTCGGTGGTAACATCTCCCTTCGTTACCTTCCCGTCTCTTTCAATCAAGCTGTTGGTGCTACGACACCGTTTTTCACCGCTCTGTTCGCTTATCTTATGACCCTTAAGAGAGAAGCTTGGGTTACTTATGGTGCTCTCGTCCCTGTCGTTGCCGGTGTCGTCATCGCCAGTGGGGTAAGCCTTCTTATTCCTCTGTTTTCAATTCTCTTAACAATGTCAGTGTTGAATGTGGACCTTCTTAGATTTGAAATTCCTGCTTTAGGGAAGATGTAATTTGGATTCTGATGATTGATCTGTCGTTGGATGTTAATGTTGAAGGATTTTGTTGTTGTATGTTGATTTGAAAGATCTGAACTATGGACAAAGGTCTAAACTTTGAAATCAGGGCAAATTTTGAGTGTTATGTTATCTAAAAAGCTTCAGCCTTTTAGGTTTAATCATCAGGTGTAGAATTTGGTAGAACATCATTTTGGGATCTAACCTTCCTTATTTCTCCGTAAAGGTGATATCTTTATAAGCTTATACATGAAGTGGCTATATCATATTCTTGTTTTTGGTGTTTGGATTTGTATCACTGTGAAGAGTGGATCTTGGTGTTATTTTTTTTGTGTGCATGATCTTGATCTAATTACTATTTGATTTTGCAGGGTGAGCCAGGATTTCACTGGTTTGGGTTCATAATGTGCATTAGTGCTACGGCTGCTAGAGCCTTTAAATCTGTTCTTCAAGGCATCTTACTTTCTTCAGAGGGGTAAGTAATATCAGAATATGACCTTTAACCTTATCCTAATAGAATTTACTAATTTAGATTCTGCAAGCAATTGGATGAGCAAATCAGGAAACTTTTGTTACCCAAATAAAGAAACCTCATAAATGGTTGGTTAGGTAGAATGTTGTAATACATCACGTATGAGGTTAAGATTTTAATTCATAGAATTAGATTGTTAACAACCAAAGAAATTCAATTCCACAAACAGCAACATCTTTATGTAATTTTTTTGATTCACCTGCAGGGAAAAATTGAACTCAATGAATTTGATGTTGTATATGTCTCCGATAGCAGTCATTGCTCTTCTTCCCGTCACGCTATTTATGGAACCAGACGTGATCAGTGTGACCTTGACGCTAGCAAAACAACATCAGTACCTGTGGATACTTCTTCTGGTTAACTCGGTAATGGCTTATTCAGCCAATTTGTTGAATTTTCTGGTTACCAAACACACAAGCGCTCTCACCCTCCAGGTAAAACCTATTAGCCTATCCCTCTCTCTATCTCCTTTTATCACCGGAAAGCTCGATATTGGGGATAACACGACTAACAATGTTGATTGTGTTCTCCATTGTGCAGGTTCTTGGAAATGCTAAAGGAGCAGTTGCAGTGGTGATTTCGATCTTGATCTTTCGAAACCCGGTTACGGTTATGGGAATTGGCGGGTACTCCATAACCGTCCTTGGGGTGGTTGCTTATGGAGAGACAAAACGCAGATTTAGATGAACTTTGTCAGACATTAGCGAGGGACTCATCCTTAGGACCTGAAATATTTGGGGATTTAGGAGATGAGAATTTATCAATAGTGATTTTTTGTAACTATTTTATACGCATTTTATAATGTAATATGTATCGGACTATGTTAGATTCGATGGTGAGATAATCATTTTTGTGTTTCCAAGTTGAAATGCTTAACCCAAACCAAAATTGTTTTTTTTTTTTTGTTTGCTTATTTTGTGTCTATATCTCCTTCTTCTCTTTTTTGTTTGTTAAAAAATACAATAAAAAGTACAAAAATTATTTATAGATTGTGAACATATGAATGAAAAAAAATTCATGACGTTGCACATTTTTTTTTTTGATAAAAGAACAAAATTTAAGAAAACAGGACGTTATTCTAAAAAAGGTATATGTAATTTGTAAACGTTTAAATCTTGGAAATATGTCTAGAAAATTTACTATCATATATATATATTCTTATGTATTCTGAATATTTCTGATTCGAAGATTCTTATAGTAGTTTCCAAACAGCTTTTAATCGATAAATAAGTGGACGGCTTTACCAACAATGGCAAAAGTTTAGTTTCGATTTACTTTTATGCATAGGAATATAGTTTCTGGCTTGTCGCCGACGTGCAAACCATTATCAAATTAAGTAATTAACATTCTTTGTCTTCTGCTATGTGTTTTATTTTTAGGAGGGGAAGATGGTCTTATAGTTTTTAATAACTCTGCTCTCTTCTAAGTAAACAATCATGTTTCAACCCCAAAAATAAAATTAAAAAAATTCATGAATGATTGAATCACAAGTCAATTCTTATAGAATCAAATCATGAATGTTTTCTTTCAGCAAGTTCTTTGTATATGGAAAATATATTTTTATTACGTGTTATCTTATGTTCTAGGCTTCTAGCATATGTAGGAATTTAATAAAAGCAAAGACTTTTAATTCATTTTACTTTCTGAAAGATTGGTTTTTGAAATGTCAACGTAGGCGAGACCTTAGTTAGGTCAAGCCTTTACTATATGCTGAAAAATACCAAGTGTTTTTATTTTAATTGCTAGTGTACACATTTTAGGGTATTTTCTTCTGTTAAATTGGTTTTGTACACATTTTAGGGTTAAGGAACATTATATGAATTATAAAATGATGAACCGATGAAAAATATTAGTTTTCCCGTTTTGATTTTTCATATGTCACGATTCTTATATTTTTTTTTAATGATAAATCTATAGAAAAATATTGAAACGAGACATTCTACATCAAATAAATAAGAGGATCGGATAATCAAAATGATAAACAGAAAGAAACACTTTTCCTATTTTGGAAGATGAAGTAAAAGAAATAGTTAACAGTCCTTCGAATTCTCAAATTATAAGTATTTACTAATTTACAATTAGAGTTTAGAACATTGGAAATGTGTATGTCCAAATAGATAGATCGATGAATGATGATGAGGCGTGAGAGGAAAGTGGCCGATGAATGATGTGTACGTGAAGATGTGGTTCTTTTGGTACGACCCTACGGCTAACACGTGCCGTTGACGAAAGAGCGCGTGCGTTTTACTTCTTGTATTTTCACTTTTTCACTACTTGTTACATGTGTGTGAACATTTTACATTAAGTGGGATCTTTTTATTTTAACAACATGATAAAAAGATAACACATCCGGACAGAAGTCTTGGGATGATCCTCAAAACATGCGAAAGAAGGAACCTTAATCTTTGGAAACCGATTGAGAAGTCGAAGATTTTGAGGATCCATCATAAGTAGTGATCTTCCACTTTTGAATCACCATGCGTTAGTTAAACACTAATTTGATGAAAACTACTGATGATCTGAACTTATTAAAAGTTCGATATGATACACATGTGAATCGTTGTCTTACTTTTGTGGTTTATAAATTCGATTGCTCATTGTGCATGGAGTAGTGGTGGTTATAAACCTTCGCTTTCGTGGATGTTTACAAAATATTTTTATCTAAGAAAAATTCCTTTCTTATAAGGTGATGAAATATACCGTTTTAGAGACTAGCATTGAAACCAACCACCTAGAATATAATCAGTTGGACTAAACAGACTTTTAATTACCTAATTTGTGTTTGTTTACGTTACCTTTAAATGGTGATATTCTGATACAAACAGACTATGTACTAAAAAGTAAAAACCAATATATAAACCCTAATATTAAGATTAATAACACAAAAGAAAGTATTAATACCTATATAGCATGCAATCAAGATAGAACTAAACTGGTCAGATAATCAGCTTATGGATCGAGTTCTAACAATTCCATGTGTATGATAGTATTTTCTGTTACCCCTTTACGTTAAATGAAATAATATGAAATGAAGTGATGACAAAATTTATTTTGATAATATTAACCTTAAACCAAATACAAAAAAAAAAAAAAAAAACGTCATCGATTAGATCATTTATATTTGATATTGTCATTACTTCTAACTTTGTTTTTTTCTTTTTCTTTGTTAATTCAGTACCTACTTCTAAGTTCTAACTTTCTAACGATAAAGACTAATCTGTATGGATCTGAATGGTTAATGCTTAGATGACTAAATCAAATTAAGAAAAATGAAGATAATTTATAGTAGTATTCCCTCATAAAAATACTAAAAACCTACATTTGTTTAACATAAATTTCATGGTAATCTTTTGAAACTGTATATTTTATTCGGATGCATAATGGTTCACTAAACACCAAGTAGAAAATTCCATGGGGGAAATCAACAAAACTTCAATAAGTTAAATCTAGAAGAACTAATTCATATGATGTATGCAAACATGCATGAAGATGTTAACTTAACTGGTGATATATTGAATTGACCAATTGAAAGGATTACATCCAGATACCCTCAAACTGCGTTCACATGTTCAAAATATAACTAAGAAAAAGTTGGCTTTATGTATTTAAGAAATTTACGAAATTTTTTACGCTCCTTTTTAATTTTTTTTTTCAAAGTAGGTTAATGCATGTACTTAAATCAATAATATAAATTTTGCATTAAAAAAATAGTTTGCTGAAAAGAAAAATGCAGTAACATATTTTTTTGGAAAAAAATTATTAACTAATTTATAACATATAGTTTTTTAAAAATATGTAGTTTTAATATGGACTAAAATCCTCGATCTTCGAGTTGTTTAACATTATCGTAATAGATAATGTTGTACGAAGAGCCCGTGCCCTACTCGTTCCGGCACGAGACTGCGTGTGGAGAGTAAGACGACACTTAAAAAAAGCTTAAAGAAACTTCCATTAATCATGGACTTATAAGTACTAACTACTCGGAGACACATAGATATATAGATTCCATCTCAAATTCGGTCTTATCATCTTCCTCCTTCTTCATCTTCACCATCAAAGTCTCTCTCTTCTTCTCACACATAACATAAGAGGACAAAAAAAAATGTGTGCCTTAACACCAATGTTTCCAAGTAAGCAACAAGAATGGTACTCTGCTTCAACAATGGAGTATCCATGGCTGCAGTCTCAAGCTGATTCCTTTTCTCCTACTCTCCAATATCTTCCTTCTTTCCTTTATCCTTTAGATGATTCCAAGAGCCATAACATCAATCATCATATGAGTCTCAGCAATGATACTAACAGTAACAGTAATATTAATGGTCAAGAAGAAGTTAGAGGAACGGTTTTGGAGAAGAAACTGAATCACAACGCAAGCGAACGAGACCGCCGTAGAAAGCTTAACGCCTTGTACTCTTCACTTCGTGCTCTCTTGCCTCTTTCTGACCAAAAGGTTTGTGCTTTTAAAAATGTTTTTTTGAATCTGAAAAATCGGATCAAGATTAGGTTTTGTAATCTTGAAATGGATTTATATACTAAAGAAACCCTTTTGATATGCAGAGGAAGCTGAGCATTCCGATGACGGTAGCGAGAGTGGTGAAGTACATACCAGAGCAGAAGCAAGAACTTCAACGTTTGTCTTGGAGAAAAGAAGAGCTCTTGAAGAGAATCTCGAGAAAAACTCACCAAGAACAGCTGAGAAACAAAGCAATGATGGACTCCATAGATTCCTCTTCCTCCCAACGGATCGCAGCAAACTGGCTCACTGACACTGAGATTGCTGTCCAGATTGCTACATCGAAATGGACATCTATCTCTGACATATTGCTTAGGTTAGAAGAAAACGGGCTTAATGTCATAAGCCTCTCTTCTTCGGTTTCTTCAACCGCAAGGATCTTCTACACTCTACATCTTCAGGTACTTGTCTAAAGAAATCAAAAGGTCATATTCTTCTTACATGAAACTCATAAAGTTAAGAGAATCTAAAATCGTTAGTCTTCTTCTTCTTTGTGCAGATGAGAGGAGATTGCAAAGTGAGACTGGAGGAACTCATCAATGGTACGCTCTTGGGATTAGGCAATCATAATGAGAGATATGAAGAGTTTTAAAGAGTGAATCTTGTTAGTTTATGTTAGACTTTTTTCATATTTTAGAATTGTAATCTTCTGTAACATTTGTTTTTCTGACTAATGATTATTCAACTGGAAAACTTATTCAATAAAGAGAATTTGCAAATTTTATGAGATGATTATATATATATGACAGTTGAAAGCAGTTATTTTACTGAATTTACTGTACAGTTATAGCAACCATGGTATTGTAAAAAGATCACAAGACAATAAGAATATTGTCCCACACATTTGATCTATGAAATGATAATGATTTTCCATTTGCCCTCCATAGTCCACCATTGATGTATGTATATCAATCCTTATGTTTCAACTGCAACAACCTGCTCTTGAATGATCTTTATGCCGATTGAAATGTGACTTCTCCGGTGGCTGTTCTTACATAAGCAGCAGAAGCTTCAGGAGTGTCTTCTTCACTCGGTGGAACCAGTTGCCAGAAGAGAGGTAGATACTTGTCCCATTCATTCAGAATCGTTGCGCCTTTGCTGCTTCCGGTTTTTTCCTATTAACCAAAACAAAAGAGAGTGTTATATATATGATGCTATCAAATACAAGCCACTAGCTCTTTTTTTAACTGGTTAAAATATGATGCAGATCTTTGAGATGACTTACGACATGTGCTTCAATTAAGCTCTTCAGCTGCAATTCCCCTGCAGGCGCAGTTACTCTTTGCATCTTCACTATCTCTCGGTTAATCTGTAAAATAGAGATTGTTCAGATGAATCTTGAAAGACAAGAATCTAAATTTCACCTTGAAGAGAGTAAGAAACCTTAGGAAGAAGAGTGTCATCTTCATCAAGAAGGTAAGCTAAGCCTCCAGTCATACCCGCAGCAACGTTTCTTCCCACCCTGTATCAATGGAAAAACATTTCAAATGTCATCATTAGATATAGATTTTCTAGTCCAGTGGTTTTTGAATTATCGCAGTTTACTCACTTTCCAAGCACGACGACACAACCACCAGTCATGTACTCACAGCAATGGTCTCCAGTGCCTTCAACTACTGCTTCAGCGAGTGAGTTTCTCACTGCAAATCTCTCTCCAGCTTTGCCTCTAGCGAATATCTGACCGCCTGTGGCACCATACAAGCAAGTGTTCCCGACTATCGTTGCTTCCTCCGGTACAAACCCGATTGTGTCCACAGGAGTTACTACTATTTCACCACCAGCCATTCCCTTCAAAAAGATCAACCATTGCAGAAGATTTCATAACAAGTAACAGTTGATGCAAAAAACTGATTTCTATGCATGTATGTGGATGCTAATTTTACCTTTCCAACGTAGTCATTTGACTCTCCTATGAGCCGGATGTTCATACCAGGAATCAAAAAGCACCCAAAGGACTGTCCCGCGCTCCCAAGGAAACTGTAGACAAGAAAAGAGTAAAGCTTGTTTTAGCTATAACCTGAACTGAAACATGTAGACTTCTACAAAGCTTTAGTGTTTATTTCTCACGTTAGATTTACTTGTCCTGCAAAACCAGTGTCTCCATACTTCTTTGCGATAACACCAGCAACGCGACCACAAACCGCACGGTCTACGTTGCATATTTTGACGGTTTTATCAACCACCTTTTCGTTCTCTATTGCATCAATCACCTAGAGATATTAAAACTGTTAGCAACTACAGATCACCAGAACCAGGTGGGAAACAGCATTGAAAGATATCTGTTACCAATGGATCTGCAAGAATATCGTCGTCGAGAACAGGTCCATTTGTATGAACTTCCTGCTTTCTGATTTCAGTACTGCTCAATGAAGGTGTTCCAACAGACTAAAAGAGTGAAAAAATTAAGAAAAGGTTATAACAAGTGATATGAGACTGGATTTTAATTTCATGCAAAAGAAGTAGAGTATGGATATAGCCATATACCGAAAGAAGATAACTCAGATCGAGATGCTGAGTTTTCACTAACGAAATATCTCGTGGTTTCAGTAACTCTGTTCGTCCAATGATGTCATCTAACTTGCTGTATCCCAACTGTGCTAAGATACCTCTCACCTGCCAAAAAAAGATTATACTTCAGATGAGATTAGGCCAAAAGAGTCTTAATGATTGAGATAGTGAGATATTTCACCTCTTCTGCTACATATAAGAAGTAATTGACAAGATCACCAGGCACACCGGGGAATCTTGCACGTAATTCTTCTCTCTGAGACCATTCAGAGAGTGTTATACAAGCATTAGTGAAACTCAAGAAAAGATAAACAAGAAGCCAAGGAAAGTTTAGAAAGTCTTTTGAGTTTACCTGACTTGCTACACCCACTGGGCAGTTATTAGTGTGGCAAATACGAGCCATAACACAACCAGTAGCAATCATTGCCAAGGACCCAAATCCGTATTCATCAGCACCCATAGCTGCAGCCATTAAAACATCAACACCACTCTTTAAGCCTCCATCGACTCTTAAAATGACTCTTTCTCTGAGTCCATTTTCGATAAGAGTCTGCAAAAGAAGAATAAAGCAAGTAGAAGAAATGAGATTTTTTATTAAGAGACTCAGAATGTCCAATAGAATTAGTACCACATGGTATTCAAAAAGTTTACTTGGTGAGTTTCTGTTAGTCCAAGTTCCCATGGTCCACCAGCATGTTTTATGGAGCTTATTGGACTAGCACCAGTTCCACCATCATGGCCTGATATCTGAAAATCATATCAAAAAAGAACAATGAAACTTCTTGGCGCAAGAACATGGGAGAAACAAGAGGTAATATTTTATTCTCAAGTTGATACCTGAATGATATCAGCGTTACCCTTTGCAACTCCAGAAGCAACTGTTCCGATTCCAGCTTCTGCGACCAGCTTGACTGATACTTTTGCATTCGGATTAATCTGTTTGTTTGTTCAATTGGAAGTTAGATTACATGGAGTTCCCTTTTGTTTAGCTCAACTGTTTATTGAGTTCTGAAAAGACTGATACCTGATGTAGATCAAAGATCAACTGAGCAAGGTCCTCAATAGAGTAAATGTCGTGGTGAGGAGGCGGGGATATAAGCGGAACACCAGGTTTAGAGCTTCTTAGCCTTGCGATGTATGCACTAACTTTCTTTCCAGGAAGCTGACCACCTTCCCCAGGCTTGGCACCTTGTGCAACTTTGATTTCCAATTGGTCTGCATTCACCAAGAATGTTGGTGTGACTCCAAAACGTCCTGAAGCAACCTGAGAGAATACATTTTTAAAGTTACCATCTATTATTATCTTCCAAAACAAAGGTGAAGTAATGTAACATAGTTTCTGTGATATAACAGAGATGAGAAATATGACCTGCTTGATAGCACTTGTTGCGATATCGCCGTTTTGAAGACCTTTGAGATGTGGTAATGTTGATGAATATCCATCAACCACATCTGTAAGTGGCTTCCATCGGATAGGATCCTATAGAGGGAAATGAAAAAAAAGAGCATTAGAGTTTGATTTTCTTACTAATATGAAAGAGAAAATGGATTTTTTATTTACCTCTCCACCTTCTCCAGAGTTTGATTTACCACCAATCCTATTCATAGCAATAGCAATAGCTTCATGAGTCTCTCTTGAAATAGCACCAAGTGACATTCCACCAGTACAAAATCTCTGAACAATAGAAACGGCTGGTTCAACTTTCCCTACTGGGATCGGTGCACGGTCACTCTTGAACTCAAGGAGATCACGGAGGACCTAAAGAGAGAGAGATAGAGATAACTTAGTCAAGAAACTAAACATTAAAGAAGGCTGAGAAAGAGCAACTAGAAACTCACATTAACAGGTCTGTTAGAGAGATGTTGTTGATAGACTGCATAAGCAGTTTCACTCTTTTCACGGACAGCCTTGTGGAGCAACTTTGACATCTCTGGGTTGTTTGAATGATACTCACCTAAACATAACAAGGCTTGTTGTGTAAATGAACAAACACACTTGATTTTAATCAAGAAATGAAAAAGCATTGAAGTAAAGTATTTACCTCCAGGCCTAAATTGAATAAACCCGAAATTTTCTAATCGTTTAGTTGTATCCTCAGAAAAGGCCTTCACCCAGAAAGACAATGTCTCTCTTGCCAACTGAAAGAAGATTTGCATTTTCTTAGAAGAAATGTGAAATTTGAATCAAAAGTAATAAGAAAATAAATGTGATGTATTCTTACCTCATCAAAGGTGAGTCCACTGATTTTTGACACACTTCCAGTGAATGCAAGATCAACAACCTCTTTCCCCAAACCATATATCTCAAATATCTGAGCACCACAATAACTGAACAAAGGAAAATTCCAAGTCAGTACTTGTAGAACTCTGCATAACATAACATAACATAGTTGTAGAAATGGAACCTTGAAAGCAATGAGATGCCCATCTTAGAAAGAATTTTAAGAAGCCCTGCATTAACCGCCTGCAAGATAAGCCATGTGTATATCAGAATCCTTTATAATGTTTAAACAACTAATATATGAGTCTTTAAAGAATCCCTAAGGTCAAATTACTTGTGAAAACATCTTAAGAACGTGTACTGAAATTCTCACCTTGGTGTAGTTTTTCTGAGCTTGCTCAATGGTTACAGTGGGAATTTTCCCGTTACGCATGAATGCGACAGTTTTGTTACTTAAGCGCCATTGCCTACATGTCTCCAGTGCCAAGTACGGGCATACAGCACTGTGGAAATTTTTCACAAAGCATACTTATTGATGAGACAGGATATGATGGTGGAACATAATCTAGTTAAGAGTTAGCTAGTGTCACTTGGCAGGGACAAATTTAGAAAATTCAGAGCAAACAAAAGATATTAACCTTGCACCATATCCAACCAAACAAGCAAAATGATGTGTGCTGAAGCATTGGGCGGTATCAGCAACAATGGAAGCTGACATCCTCAAACCGTTCTGAATAAGATGTTGATGGACAGCGCCAACAGCTAACATTATCGGAATTGCAGGGCGGGTTGGTTCCTGAAAGAGCGAAATTACCAGAGATTTTTATATAGCTTGGAGCAGATTTAGATTGGCAGAGAGAAATTTTCTGTGAAGAAACTTTAAGACATTTTACCAGGCTATCGGATCGGTCTGAAAGAACGAGAAGCTGAGAGCCACTTCGGACAGCATCATCAGCGGCTTCACAAAGAGAATATAGAGCCTTTTGCAAGG